GAAGGAACCTCTGGGACCTATTTTTGAAGCCATTTACCTTGACAGCCAGAGGCACCTGGGGCTGAAACATTGGATTTTGCAGTGTGGGGCGGGTGGAGGCTGGACTCACACCCTCTGCAGAAGCCACAGCCATTCTGTCTGCATGGCCAAGGCCGATGTGTGGGGCAAGTAGAGGGAGAAGCAAGCTCTTGTGTGCGGTGGCACAGCGGGCTTCATGCTTTGGTGAGGAGTAGACCGCACCTGCCACTAAGTGCGGCTCGACACTCAGGTGACTCTCCAGACATGACGCTATCCAGTTCAGATATTTATAACATTTTGTCTAAAAGTGTCTGTAAAAGGTTCTGAAGCCATTCATTATTTAGATCATTCATACCACATACTTCCCAAGTCACTCTAAAAATAGAACCCGTTTCCCCCATCGGCTGAGTTCCGGTGCCAGAGTGCGGGCCGTGTGCTTTGGAAGGAAGGGGCAGATGGGGATGTCGCATGTAATGGTTCGGTGGGAAAGCAGAGGGTTAGGCTCCTGGGTGGCTCAGTCAGTGAAGCGAGTGCCTTCGGCTCAGGTCATGATCCCAGGGTCCTGGGATCCAGTCCCACATTGGGCTCCCTGCTCAGCGGGAAGCCTGCTTCTCCCTCTCTCTGTCTGCCACTCGCCCTGCTTGTGCTCGCTCTCTCTCTTCCTCTTTCTCTTTGTCAAGTAAATAAATAAAATCTTTTTTTTAAAAAAAGGCCAAGGATTCTTTTTCTGGGTTGGTGTTAGAGCTGTGATGTGTACCTTAGCTCATAAGAGGCAAAAATCTAGTCATGCTCTATCTTTCCTCCCAAATTCTTTTTCTGTAGTTTGTGTTCTGATTCCTCTGTATGTCTCTTCCATTTGTCCTGAGAAATTCTAAATATAATCTTCCTGGAAGTCACTGCTTAATAATTTCTAGGATAAAACCCCAGGCAATTGGTGTAGTACCGAATGGTTTCTGCTTAATGTAGTTTGAGAGGGTTTTAAACTTTTGATCTTGAGGCCAAAAAAGGAAATTTAGATCATAACTTAGTACACATTCTTAGATGTATGTAACAGAAACGGTTTTCTTGAATCACTGTGTTCATGTGAGGCACTCCTGTTTCCTGTCTCGTTCTCCTGAACTTCTAAAAAATGCTTCTCCTGGGCTGCCAGTGGGATTGCAGCTCCTGTGCCCTGGGCCCAGTTGGTTAAGTGTCAGATTCCTGGTGTCTGCTCAGGTCATGGTCTCAAGGTCATGAGCTCAAGCTCCATGTTGGGCTCTGCACCCAGCAGGGAGTCTGCTTGAGATTCTCTCTCATTGTCGCTCTTGCTTTCTCGCTGGTGAATAAGTAAATCTTAAAAAAAATCACTGCCCAGAGGTACCTGCGTGCACCCTTCTCTTTCTTCTGGTGCTTTTTTCCCCACACAGTGTCTTCTCTCTCTTCCGTTTGCATGTGACACGCAGAGTCCCAGCCCTGTTCTCACTGCAACCTCTGTGGTACTCCTGACGTCACGTCCTTAGATGCGACCTTTAGCTTCTAACCTAAAGACTGAAAGTCTCTGTTGTTTGTGTTCTTTGAGAAGTTGACTCTCATTTCTTTAGTGAGGGCCACAGAGCCTGGTGTCCACTTGACGGCCGGCAGCCCAGGCCAGTGTGCGCGGGCAAGCTTGGGAGACGTCCGAGGGCCGTCCTAGGGCTTCACCAGAGCTATTGTCCTGGTCCCCAGGCTTCAGGTTCCAGTGGCATTCACATGGGTGGCAGCTTCCCTCTCCGTGGCGATGGCACACACTAGTCCGTTTCCTTTTTATTTAAATGGGGAGAGTTATTTTAAGGAGGGGGGAGGACAGTCTGTAAGATAGTTAATCATCGCCTAGTGGGCAGGCTCCAGGACCGCGTCTGGTATAGTTACTTCACGTTTCCAGTAATGGAATATAGATTTTTGCTGCGCCTTATCTGACACGTTTCAGGGGCTCCATTTGGCCTTGTCATTACGTTGGAAAATAATTTGGTGGCTTGTCAGAAGGGAACATTTGTAACCGTGTTAGTAACCGGCACATTTTCAGCCTCTAGAATAGCATGACAGGTAATTAAGGCTGGGATGGACAGCAGTTACTTAACACTTAACAGTAAGCACAAGGAATGCCCGTGTTCACTGTACACACTGAAACCGGTTTGGCTTTGTAGGCTCTCATAGGTGACTTGCTGCTTGCAGGAGATACCTGCATAGTAGAAATTAGGAAAATTGATTAATGTATTTTCATAACATTGGTGTAAGATGTCATCCTGTGGCAGCAGGGACGTCAGGAAGCTGTGCTGGCCTTAACGTTGTCTGTGCGGGGCCCATGGGTGGGGGTCCTGCCACAGCAGCCCCACCCGGGTGTCCTTGAGATGGCCCTGCTTCTCATCTTGCCATAAAGACCACGAGTAGGCTCTCTGAACCCCTCCTAGCTATCTTCTGTGGAACTGAAGATGTGTTATAAAATTGGTGTGTTGTCATTAACCTAAACGCTTTACATTTCCTGAAGTTTCTATGGTTCTGGCAGCAGTGGGCTGGTTTGAAAATGCAGATCTCACCACACTTTCCGTTTGGTGAAACCTTCATGTAAGCCTGTTTCTTTTAACCTGGTGCTGTTCCATACTTTTATTTTATGTTCAACCTGTTTTCTTTAAAATCTGGTCTTTCTACGGTCACCCTTGGTGCAAACCGGAGAGAGCCTTCAGTCTGCTCTGTGGGCGAGGTTGCTTCATCTTTGGCTGTTTCAGAAAAGGTGTGTTCCGTTGAGTGCAAAGACCTGTTCATGTCCAAGTGCAGCTGCTGAACCTGACCTCAGGCACGCCAGGGGATCAGTTACCTGCCCGCCTGAGGAAAGCAGAGTCCAAACAGGAGACACTGTCACAGAGAATGCCCCACAGGGGCATTTTCATAGGACTCCACCCAGTCCTGTCACACTGCTCTCATCACAGTCCCTTCCCGTCCACATTGTACTGAGCCAGTGTCCCAGGGAAAAGCCCAGAGCCTGTGCACAGCCATGCCTTCCCGCTGGTTACTGAGCCATAGGATGGAGTACTCATTTGTAGCCCAGACTCTAGAACCAGCCCGCCCAAACAGGGCTACTTTGGAGAGGTCCCACACGTCTCTGGTCTCTAGGTTCTGTGAAATGAGCATCATCGTAGCGCCCACCTCCTACAGATTAAGTGAGACTAAGAGTGGCCCGAGCGCGGCACCTGCTTCACTCCTGTAGCCCTTTAGTGGCAGGTGCCTGGGCCAAGCTGCGGGCCCTTGCCAGGTTAGAACTCTGACAACCTCTCCCCAGCAGCAGAACTTGGGTAGTGGGTGTTTTGTAAGTTTTTATTTAGATGCATTGAAGTTAATAACTGAGGAGTAGCATTTCAGAGATGGGAGGGTATGGAACTCCTTTAGGTAATAAGCCTATCTTCTTCTGATATGTTTTGCCTTCATTGGTGGCAGCAGGGGACGGGGGCAGGTGGCAGTACCACTATTTATGTAGACGTCCAACTTACCGTTCGTAGTCAGCACACCTCTGGTTTTTGATCATGGAGTTAACTACCATCCCCACTAGCAACATTAAATCAGTCAAATGGAGAGTGGGAATGCCCCCATCACTTTGGCTGGTGAAGATGTCTGCCTTTTCTGGACCTTCCGCTGATGGCTGCTGTTTCAGGTCTACAGCATTAATTGGCACCTGTAGCTTCACGTTAGATGTGGTACCTCCACGGTGGGTTGTAGCAGGTGCAGCCAGGAAAATAAAAGGAAGGAGAATCCCGTCGGGAGGATTGAGGCTAGTCTCATGCTTCCTGTACACCTGGCCGTTGGTAGCTGATTTTTTACTGTCCTCCAAGCATCACTGACAGGAAGCAGGTAGCTTTCTAGCTAGTAGGATTTTTTTAACTACCTAAAAGGCAGTCCTGAGCTTGCAGCAGATCATTCCAGTGAATCTCATTCGTATTTCCCAGATGCTGCTTTATAAATGCGAGAAGAGAGGTTTTTCAAATACATTTAAAAAGTAGTTTGTGTAAATTAGAGAATTCCTCAGTAAACCAGGGAAGAGTGAAAATAAGAGGCCAGGATTTGGGGTTAGGAGGTCTGGATTCTCTCTTGGGCTTTCAGGCTGGCTGTGGGACAGGTCGGATCACAGAATTTCCCAAGCTTTTAGGCATTTGAATGTGGTAGAAGCAACTACGTGTGTTTATGTAAGGGTAACAGACTTACACCCTGGGGTTACCTGAGTGTCAGAAGCTCTGATTCAGGCACCTTGCAGCAGGGCATAGAGGCAGCAAGACCTGTCGGGTGCCCTGTGGTCCAGGCCAGTGACCCCAGAAACCTGAGTTACGACTTCCCAGGGGACTCCCAGAGTCTGGAAGGGGGCTTGTGAGCTCCTCCAAGTGAATGTCATCCAAGTCTCAAGTCAGAAAGATCTATGCTGTGTGGTAGCACAGAGGCAGGAAGAAGTATGTTACGGCCAGAAATTAACCAGCAAACTAATCCATGAACTTGGATTCCAAAGTAGCGTACTTACAAGATTGAAAGCTTGAGGGCCCCCCCCACTTTTTTTTGGTGAGAAGTAATTTCTAAGATTTATTAATCACTAGATTACTTCACTTTCCCTGGACTCTCAGCTCTCAGGAAGCTCTTTACAGCACTTAATAAATACTAGGGTGTTCCCAACATTCCATTACTGTCTTCTCTATAAACTGGGCCACCTGCGACCCCAAACCCTGTGTGGTCCTGAGTATCCCTTCCCTTACTGAAGGCATGCTCCCCAGTTCCAAGACTTGATTTGTTTCCATTCAGTTGGGTAGCAGCCGCCCTACAGGGCTGCCGACTGTCACCACACAACACTGTGACAATACCCGGGACTTAGGTGGCGTCTTTCATCCATGACTTACCGCAGAAGCGTCGTATTAAAGAAACACTAAACACTTAAGATTGTTGATACTCAGTGGAGAGATGGGGACACTAACTCTTCGCTTTCTTCTCCACAGACGCGGGACGACTTCCTGGGACAAGTGGACATACCTCTCAGTCATCTCCCGGTAAGGACCGTCAACCTGTTTCGTGGGGCATGCTGGGAGCAGTGCTTTCTGATTGTTTCCGGTTGGGTGTATTTCAGAGCAGTATTTCCTCAAGGCAACTTCAGAGCATGCTGAAACGAAGAGCATGTGCTCAGGCCCCTGTCCCTTTCTAGAAAGTGGTCCTTTCGGGGGGACAGGAGAGAGCTTAATTGTGAAAATCAGGCGTCTCTAAATCATCCACGTATCCCTGTCTCCATCACCAGCCACTGCCTCTTTTGGCCTTCCTTTTGTCACATCATGGAGTAGCTCCCTTTCTCTGTCACACCCTCCTCCTTGTCATGGAATGTCTTTACTTTCAGATTCATCCTTTGGGTCTGATCAGACATTCATTCCCATTGTCTAGAATTACAAGTGTGTTTCTCGGGTTACAGCCGTATAAGCGAGTGCTTCCCAGATTCGGCTGTATGGCTTTGCTCAGGCAGCATGGAGCCACAAGTGACAAGTTCACTCACTGTCCTGAGTGAGCTTGTCAGCTGCAAGCACCCATTCCAACTTGAGAAATTACACTGAGTTAGCGGACAAGGTGTTGCTACTGTTCCTACCTGCTCAGATGAGTAGCAGAGTTTGGGGGGCTTTTGACCTATAACTGAGGTGAAAGGTGTCTTCCGCATGCCCCAGAGGCAGTATAGGGAGGAGGGGAGACAGGACCCGGAGGCCTTGGTGGAAGGCGGATCAGCTCGGGGTTTTCACTTTGTCCCGTCCCCCATCGTGGCCCTTCTTCCTCTGGGCATCACAAAGTGACTCAAGTAGCATCACCTAGGGGAGGGTAAGTCCAACGTTTCTGCCTTTCAAGGGCATTTTATTAATTTTTTTAATGCTTCATGTGAGCGAATGCTTAAGTAGTCTATAAACTAAAATGACTTAAGCCACCTAGGGGAAGTCTGCCGCTGTGTTGAAATCATGGCTCTTACCGTATGTTAAGTACCAAGAAAGACTGCGTCTTTCCCAGGAAGCTCAGAAGATGTGTTGTGAAGGCATGAGATAGCGAGCAGCGGATTCTTACTTACTCAGGGGAGCTGTTAAGGAAGAAAGGTTTCAAGCATATTCCCTTCCAAAAAAATCGGAAGCAAAACTGATACCATTAAAATATTTTTGTTTCTGTCTAAAAACCCGATGCTCCAAGGTACTCATGGAGGGTGACTGTGTGTGCGTGAGACCGGCTCCATGAGCCATCAGAAACCTCGTTATCCTTCTAGAGCCCCGTTGAGCGGATATGGAAGTCACAGTGTTGGCGACATACACCTCCGTGTCTGGGGGTCTTCTGTTTCTGCTCTTCAGTTTGAAGCTGTCATCTCACATTTTGAGGCAGTGAGCGTTGGCCAGTTCTTTTGTGGGTATCCCTAACCAGCCACCCTTTTCCCTGACATAAAAACGGACTCTCGGCCAAGGCAGATGATGTACTAATAGTCTCTGAGAGGCGTGAGTGGGATCTGTCAGGCAGCCTGCTCCGACAGTCCCGGGTTTGAGCGAGGGAGTACACGTTGGTTTTGAAAGGTTGGGTAGAAGGGGCACCTGGGTGGCTCAGTGAGTTAAAGCCTCTGCCTTAGGCTCAGGTCATGTTTTCAGGGTCCTGGGATTGAGCCCCGCATCAGGCTCTGCTCAGCTCTGCTTCCCTTCCTCTCTCTCTGCCTGCTTGTGATCTGTCAAATAAATAAATTAAATAAGTAAAATCTTTTTTAAAAAAAAGAAAGGTTGCGCAGGACTCACAGAGGACAGAGCAGTGTTGCTCTCCAGAGACGGAGGCCGTAGAGGGAACAGTGCTGCTTCGGGTTTGGGTGGAGGCAAGAGTGAGCTTTCAGCGGAGGAAGCGGTGAGGGGGCTGGAAGCTGGAGTAGAAAGCGGCCAGTGAAAGGAAGTAGCCAGTGAGTGCCTGGAGGGAACTGAGAACTTCTCAGTGACCTGAGCCGGGGCACGAGGGAGCGCCCTGCTTCACATCTGCGCGACGGTGACCTTGCGTGGAGTGCAGCAGTCTCCTGACTGACGATGGGCTGGCTTTCTGAGCCACTGAAGTCCGGGAAGTGGACCACAGAGGAAGCAGGAGTGGACCAAGGGTGCATCCTTCACCTTCCACGTGGTGGTGAGACGCAGCGAGCGTATTCTGAGTGGACGCAGCTTTTTGGGCTTGGGATTTGAGGGGCTGCCATGTGGAAGGTTGATCATACGTGAGGGGAGCTCATGGGAAAATCACACAGTGTCCTTATATTTTGGGGAACACAAGTGTGGCTGGGAGAAATGGATGTCAGCATTTGATTGTGTTTTGTGGAGTCAGGGGTGGTCGCTCTTGATAGCTACATGACCATCGTCGAGGCAGATTATATATGGCCTAGAGAGGCAGTTTTTGTCAACATCATCGAAGTTTAGGTTAAAGAGATTAGGAAAATTATCTCCTTAGCAGTGAGAAAAGACAGGGAGAGCAGTAATGTAGTACTGTGGTGGTAAATTTGCCATTCCCGAGCCAGGTGAGCCTTTTCGAGGTTGGAGGTGTCTGGGCTTTGATTATTAACCTCATGCAGCCCCGTTAGCTGATGGAGCATGCGCTCCTGCACAGCTGTTTGCTCTCAGACGTGATCCAGGGTCCGCGAGGTCCAGGCAAGCAGCTCCCCCTCCCGCAGCCCGGCATTGTCACTCGTGACAGCAGCCACGTGCGCTGGCTGAGCCTTTGAAATGAGGCTAATATGGCTAAAGAGCTGAGTTTATCATATTTATTTCAGTTTATCATTTATTTATCATTATTTCAGGTTAATTAATTAAAATTTAAATTTAAAAACTTTGCCACATGTGGCAAATGGCACCATATTGAATGACACATGGGAGGGTGAGACCGAGTGTCCTGGCTTGGGTAAAAAAAAGTAGGATTCTGGATTCCCCTTTCCTCAGATAATAATTCCAGCTGTTAGAGGGGTTCCCAAACCCCCACCGGTTTTACGTAGTGATTTATCATTTGTTTTTTTACCCCCTCCCTGAGGCTTTTTTTTTTTTTTAATTCTACACGTCAGATATACTAAGAAAATTTAATATAGGTCATAATAAAAAGCCCAGATGTTTGAAATTATAGAATTTTTTTTTTGTTATTTTTGTTATTTTTTGAAATCCATATTAACAAAATACCTCATTGCATTTGCGTTCATGTGCATGTGTGCGGACAGACACTTATTTTTTTTTTTCGCAGTTTAATTGCTCTGTGCATTTATTAGCTAGTATTAATGCAGCAAGGAGGGAACAACAGCTCACAAACACTCTACACAGTTTCACAAGACACATCGCAGGGAAAAAAGTGACTTTTTAAGAATGATCAATGGTATCCTAGGGTCTTGGTGGATGCATTCTTGGGGGAGGTGGACCTCTAATTCCTGGTGGAGGGGGTCTCATTCCTGGAGGGGGCATGCCTATTGGCATCCCTCGAGCAGGGGGAAGCTCAATTGGTGGTCCCATGGGGGGTCTCATACCAGGTGGAGGAGCCATAATGCCTGGAGGTGGTGTTGCTCGGCCCACAGGAGTGGGTGGGGTCCCCCGACCTGGTGGGTATTGAGTTGGGGCTCCAGCAATGCTGGCAGTAGCAGCAACTGCAGCAGCTGCTATAGTGCCTCTTCCCTGTGGAGTCATTACCTGTTGGGAAGGCCCCCCAACCCCTCGCACAGGGCCTGCTAATCCAGCAGGAGCCTGGGGAATTGGAACACCAGTTGGCACTCCTCTGCCAGCTGCCCTGCCAACCCCAGGACCTCCTGCAGCTCCAGCAAGTGGTACCCGAGCAATTCCAGTATCTTTGGGGGGTGGTCCTTCCACAGTCATGGATACCAAGTTCTCCCCACGTAGTAACACCAGACCTAAAACACGCTTTTCTTCACGCTCTGGCTGCTTAGCATTCTTTGGCTTGATCTTTCTGAATTCATCACAATCACAGAGGATCAAGTTCATATGTTTGTCAAAAGCCTTAAACGTGCCAATGAAGATTCGGCCATCTTGCAAGATACATCTCATTCTATAGTCAATGTGCTGCAGCATCTTGCTGCTCTTTCCCACAGTCATGGTTGCTGTTCCACCAAATCCAGTGTCCACAGGAAGGTTTCAGGATCCTTAAGACCTAAGGGAAGGCTACAGATAAAGGTATGACGCAGGTTCTCCTATAAACAATGCAAGCTTGGGGCAGAAGCTTCAAACAGTAGATGGGAGCCTGGTTTTTTTCACTTGGAAATCAGCTACCTGGATGTTCCAATAACTGCTTTAACCACCTCTCGGTGTCTCAGCTGAGAATGCCTGTCTCAGTTCCGCCTGGAAATCCACCACAGGTACTTGCTGCTGCTGAGATCTCCTTGGGTACAGCTGACACTCTTGGTTGCTCAGTGAGGCTGTCCTCCTACGTTTGACTTGGACTTCGACCTCTGGCACGTGCTGTTCTGTAGTCCGTCTCAGGTGTAAGCGGTCCCTGGCCTGCTCCATCGCGCTGCTACCCGCTCCTCAGAACAGACCGTCAGGCATCTCCGGCGACCACTCCACTCTGCCCAGACACACTTATTTTTAAGGCATTTTATTTTATTTTATGACTTTTTAAACCAAGAATGAGGCATTATCTTATTGCCACAAGGTACCACGAACTTGTATTTCTTTTAAAAATAAATCCTGTCTGTCTTGATTGTGGTCTAAGAGGTTGCCTTAATTTCAGTGAAGCCCTTTTCTAAGTCAGGAGCTTCATGGAGAAGACCCAGGACAGCATAACTAAGCTCAGTGTAATCTCTTGTGATTATTACATTATTTTTGATAATTTAAATCCTATTTTGTGTTTCGTGTATGTTTGAAAAATAACTTATTTTAGGCCCAGCACTTGATGTGAGTCTGCTGAAGGACCTTTGTTCCTTGCTGAAATTCTAGAGGCCTGTTGGCTCCACTGGCGAGAGTTGGTGTTGCCGTGTAAAACCTTTTAGGATCTTAGGAGTGGCTTGCCTAAGCTGTCTATACTAGGCAGCTCTCATTGGACTGACCCTCCCGCCGCCTCGCCGGAAGTCTGGAGGGTCAGAGCAACCCTTCCACTGGCGCCCATGGGAAGTCACAAACGCCTCGGCATCTTGGACCTGGTGCACGAGGGTCCTCCCTGGTCCCCTGCCCGGCATCGGGTCCCTGGACTGCGGCCTCGCTGGACCCTGTGGGCTGGTGCGAGGGGCTGAGTTGGCATTCTGCCAGGGTGACAAGTGACAGAGGCACTCGGGAGAGGCAGGGCGGCAAGGTGCACCCCGCGGGCCAGTGTCACCACCTCAGTTCACCACCACAGTGGCCAGAGGAGGCCCGTGTCAGCTCTGTCCTTGTCCCCTAACCAGGAAAGGGGAAGGGTGGTTTGTCTGAAAGGAAGTAACCTTGTTTCCCGTTCTTCTGATGGTGGAACCCTCTGTGCTTTATACCCCTCAGATGCTTCTGGAGGGGGAAGCAAGTCCTTTTGGACCTGGGATTTACTTTTCATCCTTCCTCGGCCCTCAGAGTCCAGCTTTATTCCTGGAAGAAAACATGGGAAGGAAACAGGACACGAGCTCGGGACTGGAGGGACGTCTACGTCCTTTGCTCCCATTCTAGATGAGCCCCTCATCTTCCATACTTCTTGTCCGTTTTACTTCTTTTGAGGGCAGGAGTGAGGAAGAGGAGAGGGTAGATAAGGTTGGTGGTCCGACCTTTGATGCAGATCTGAGAATTCAGAAAACATCAGTTCATGTTCATGGGAGTCTCCGAAGGTCAGGTTTTAAAAGCTCTCTCCAGAATTGTTGGGCCAGACCCGGGAGATGGGCAAGTCGCCTTGGTGACCTTAATAAGCTAGTAATCCTTTCTGGGCCTCTGTGTTGTCACCTGTAAAAGGAGGGCGGGTGCAGAGAGGACCCCGGGTGTCCATCCTGCTCTGGGAGGCCACATCGTCACTGCCCCATGGCTCAGTGAGCAGAGGCACAGATCACCAAGATAACATGAGTGTCACCTGGGAGACTCAGGCCGCAGGGTTCGCTGGAGGTGTGCAGAGGAGGGGAGACTCAGTAATTTAGGAAGATTCCCCTCCCAGCCTCACATCTGTATGGCAGCCAAGACAGAGCTGCTCGTCTTGTTTGTCTGTTCCCGAACGGGGTGGGGTTTGCGCTTGGGTCAGCTCAGCTGTAACCCAGCTGCAAGGCCTGATTGCGCTTCAGCTACCGTTTTTCCATCTGTTCCTGAAACGCGGTGTCATGGTGTTGAAAAAGTTCATGAGGTTCATGTTCACGTTTTAGGACTTCAAATTTTATGACTTGCCTTTACTAGTTACTTAGAGGCAAAATAACTCCGAGGCTGGTACTAACAGCAGATGGACATCTTCTGGCAGGCACTTCCCTCTTTCACTTCTGTGATTTTCCTGGACTCCTCCTTCCGTAGTGTCACCCCTGTCCTTGGAGCCCCCAGCCCCCCCACCCCACCCCATTCAGCTACGAAATCTCTGTGTGCCTGGGAAACACGCTGGGGTGAAGAGAGCTCTTCTAAGAACATCAGTTTCTCCTGTTGTCATCAGGTGCTGCTCGGGGCACTGAGGGTAGCGTTTGGATTTCAGTTCTCGAAGCATGGTCGCAGTGGTGGCGTTGTTCCGGGTGCCTTGGCCGTACTTGAAGCTAAGTCAGATGATGAGCACCTCTTTTCTTTTTACGGCTGGTCGCAGGGTAATGGTTCCCTCTCGTGTGTAGAATTCAGTGTCCCAGAGCGTAGAGGGGCCTGACACCATTTGTCTATGCCCTGCATTTGACAGATGAGGTTACCTGCGCCCAGACAGGGAGGTGACTTGCCCAGTGATCATGGGTTGGCGGCAGTGCTCGGCCACACCCCGCATCTCCAGCCTTGATCTGTGAGGTAGTCAGGGTTCTGGGGGCAGGCGAAGGGGGGGTCTAGTGTAAGGCTTGCGTGCTGTTGGCGGTTGCATCCAGGTTTGGCGTCTAGCGTCCCAGGAAGTCTGCTCGCTTGCAGTTGCCTACAGAGAGCTGTTCTCCTCGCAGTGACTGCGGTTCTTCAAGGTGGAAGTGCTGTCTGTCCAAAAGGTTTTCTTGGGAATGTGTGGTGCCCCGGAACAGGAGGCAGCTGTGTGTTGGAGACGGTTTTTAACCAGTGCTGTCCTGGGAATCTCCACGGGGCTTTTTTCCAGCCAGTAGGATCTGGTAGGACCCTGAGTAATGCCAGTAAGAGTCCTGTCACTCTTAAGGCGGTCACCATCTTGTTCGCGTGCAAGAATTTCCATGGAGGTGAATTTTCATTTTTTTTTTAAAGATCTTATTTATTTATTGTAGAGAGAAAGAGAGCATGAGAGGGGAGAAGGTCAGAGGGAGAAGCAGACTCCCCACGGAGCTGGGAGCCCCGTGCGGGGCTCGATCCCTGGACTCCGGGATCATGACCTGAGCCCAAGGCAGCCGCTTAACCAACTGAGCCACCCAGGCACCCTGAATTTTCATTATCTAATGCCCTGCCTTTTATTGGAGAACATGGAGGTGGCAGTATTCACAAGTGACATGAGAATGAGAATTAGCTGCTGGGGACAAATGGCCAGCACGTGTGAAGTGTGCTGGGCGCCCTTGCAAGGACTTCATCAAACCGACTCGGTTGATTGGTTCACAACAACTCTGTGAGATCCTGTTACGGCCCCAGTTTTTAGATGAGGTCACTGAAGCACAGAGAGGTAAGGGACTTGCCCTTGGCCGCATGGCTCTGCCAGTAATGAGGCCAGGACACAGACTGGGAAGTCTGCCTCTTCATCTGTGTGGTGTTGGGCATTTGAACTGGAGTTGTGTGGACAAGTTCACTTTCAGGGGAGTCTGTGCAAACTCTTTGGTTTCCTCTGCTCACTGGCTCTTGTGCTCTCTGCTGACCCCAGACCCCCCTCATGCCTGCTAAGGATCCTGTAGTTTGGTTCGTGCAGGATCTTGTAGCCAATTTTCCCAGCTTGAACTATCCTTCCTGCCAGTAGTCCACCTGTCCAGACTTGCCCATTCATCTCCACGTGGACCACACATCCCCAGACCATTTTGATCCCCAAGTTGAGAATCAGCCTCTGCCCTCCACCCCAGGTCCCACGGAATGTGATCTCTCCACATTGGTGAATCTGTTCCACCTTAAGTTAAAGTTACTCGTTGCTACCACGGTCCCTGTTACTCTCAGGGAAGGCACCATGTTGTAGCCACACATCTTTCCCGTGGGTATTGTTCTAAAAACTAGTTGTGGTTAAATAAATGAGAAAAGGAAGAAATGCAGTAGTATTCTTGATTAATACGTTTTCCATAAGAAGTGGTATATATTTGGAAACCTTTTTCTTCAGAAAATGTTTCCAGAATGTCTAGCAGGACTGCCTTAAAGTGGACTGCCCAGAGAGTATAATTGACTTCCTTCAGCAACAGTGAATTTTCATGGCCTTGATCAGATGAATCCATCAGCTGCTCGTACAAGTGCCTGCTTCGTGCCAGGCAGTGTTTCTGCCACCAGGCATTTACTGGTGAGCTAATCCAGGTCTCCGATCTCATGAGCTTAATTCTGAGAGTGATAGATGACAAATTAGTAAATAAGTGATTAAGATCATTTCAGATGGCACAAGGCGGGGGAGGATAACCGGGATGCTCTGATAGAGGGTGGTAAGGGGAAGCAGGTGGTGGCAGTTAGGATGCAGTGTCTGCGCATATGACCTGGGATCTCACACCTGGGTTCCAGAGTGGAGCTCTCCAGCAGAAGGACCGGCTAAGGCAGGATCAGACGTGAGGTGCACCAGGAGAGATGAGGCCAGGATCCTTGGAGCAAGGGGTGAATGGAAAGGCTGGTTCACAGTGACGTTACAAGTAGTTAAGAGCTAGGTTATGTTTAATCTTGTAGGACATACAGGAGAGAATGTTCAGTTTATTGTAAGCAGAGTGGGAAGCGATTGGAGTTCAATGTAGGGAATGACATGAGGTATTTCAGGTATAAATATATACATGCATCCCTCTGATACGAGTCAGTACATCATGATACCATGGTTTGTCTCTTTCACTACAAAAGTAAGTATTTTACCTTATTTTAAAGAGCCTAGGCATTTGAGGCTTTGATACCTACAGTATTTAAAAATTAATGAAATAATAACATTTATTTTTCCAACTTCCTTCTTGCTCTGACCAGTGAATTCGGCACAATGAGTACTGATTTCTTTAAAAAATATCACAGTTACCTTTCCTAGCTTCATGAAATATGCACCAGCAAGAGGCTGATCAATGGTGCTATCTCGAATGGTCTCCATGGAGCGGATAGTCTTAATCAGTTATCTTGGGCTAATGATATGATGCTCCAATGTTAAATGTAAAGCAAAATCGCCTTCACAGGCATATTTTCCTGTTAACTCCATTTTTAGGTTTCTTGGATCACAGGGACAGGAAGGCACCAGTAACCACTGGTTCACCAGAATTAACGAGCATTGAGATTGAGGCCTGCACCCTGTGGTTAGAAATTAGACTTGGCAGTGACGACTATAATTTTGTCATTTGTCTAAGGCTGGGGTTGGCTCCTAAAAATGGGTGTCGATAGTGACATCTAGTGGATCTTGGGTAAAGTTTGGTGACGTATAAAATAATTCACCGTCAACTACGGGGTGAGGAACCAACCCCGTTTTTACCTCCCCATGTTCTAAAACACCGGCATGTGTTCTCTGTGACCCAGTTTGGTATATCTAAAATACAACAGTATCAAGAGTTTTGAAACTTACTCTTTCTTCCTATAGACAGAAGATCCGACCATGGAGCGACCCTATACCTTTAAGGATTTTCTCCTTAGACCAAGAAGGTGAGGCTTCGGGGTGCAGGTGTCCTTCGTGCTTTGTCATTGGTTTTCTCTGAGGAAGATTTTGCATTCTTTTCCTTTTGTGTCTTTTTTTAAAAGTCATCATAAATACGAAAGATGTAACCAAGTCATGTCCTTTATAACCAATTTTCTTCCATTACGCAGTCATAAATCTCGAGTTAAGGGATTTTTGCGATTGAAAATGGCCTATATGCCGAAAAACGGAGGTCAGGATGAGGAAAACAGTGAGCAGAGGGATGACATGGAGGTAAGTTGCAGAGCTGCAGGCCTTCGTCTGTTTTCTTTGCCCAAGATCGTGTAATATTTCATGTAAGACTTTATAATTTAAGGAAATAAAGGTGGATAAAACTTAACTATAGAGAAACGTACATGGGTCTTTGAATCTGTGTTCCTCTACTGATGTCATTGGCTTCGCTTAAAAATAAATAAATTAAAAAAATAAACTTCTCATTTTATGTTACAGCACTCATAATTGAGGAGGCTTCTCTTGACAAAATGCTGTATCCGCATTTTGTGGCCAGGCCCTTGCCTGTGTGAAACTCGGCTCACCCTATTTCATGCTCTTATTTCTTTGGACTTGAGCTTGTTGTAAATTTCCTCAGAGTGCTTGGAATTGCTTCAAAGCGGATGAAATGATTTAGAAAAGCTCTTCCAAGTTTCTTACGCATTTGGCCCACAGGTGATGCATTAGGAAAGCTCTCCTCTAGAAAAGCCATTTTGGAAGTGGCTGTCCAGAGGAATTTTTCTTCCCTCCTGGTGTGGCTAGCTGCCTTTCGTAACTCCCTAGTCCCATGCCTAGATCGCGGGGCCCACCTTCCCCGTGCATGCTTCAGACAGTGCTGTTGCATTAGACAGATTTTCCTGTTCTGAAAATCTGCATTAAACGGGGCCTCTCTGGGGCTTACTTACACATCTGTTTGCAGCTGTGGCATATACATGATACGTGAATTATGTGTTATGGGCTTGTTATCGGAACCCTCTCCAGGCCAAGTGGTCACATTTCCGGGCCGTGTTTGACTTGTGCACGTTCTCTCTATGGGGAGGAGTGAAGCGGGTGGTAGGCATGTATGTATGAACGTTAAGATTTCATGAGCACATCGGCCGATTTTTATCTCAAATCCGGGGAATTTTTTACACTCTTGTAGCTTTCCAACTGCACTAACGCGTGAATGAGTTTAATTTTCCAGTGACTTTACTAGGGGATGTTAGGAGGGAATACTTAATGCCGAAAATATGTGTTGCAAAAATGTAACTCATGACTCTGGTACCATGAAGCCTGTCGATGGGGCAAGCAGCAAGTGGGGAGGGCCTCAGTGGAAAGCCACTCCTGGGTTTCTGCTCTCATGCTCATACTCGATGCAGAGTGGGAGCCTTCCAGGCTTCTGGAGTTGGCCACGGTGCCATCCTGCCTGGGGAGTGATAGAGCCTGGCCCCTTGTGCTGTGATCTCTGGTAGAGCACACACGTGGTACGGCTCGTCGGCCCGGCTCCCTCTTACCTTATGGGGGCGTTGAAAAGACAGCAGTGGTAACGTGACCCATGTCCCTGGCACGGTTCTGCACAGCCCTGTGGAGGCCTTCAGGTCAGAGTAAACCCATCTGCGGAAAGAACATACGGGAATCAACACACTGTGTACGTGTTCAAAGCTGTGTTGCTCTGTACAGTGCGGTCACGTTCAAAGGCAGCACAATTAATTGGTCATTGCTCAGAATTTTTTTTTGAGACTCTTCTAGAATTGACCCCCCCCCCTTTTGGGAAGGTCTTCGCACGTGGCTCATGAAGCCACTGAAGGAGCCAGAGTGCCAGGGAGCAAGGAAGGACCCAGAGCACCCTATGATTGTTTCTCCTCACGTCCACAGGGCCCACCTCAATAATCTTCATTTGCTTTTATTCCACAGCATGGCTGGGAGGTCGTGGACTCCAATGACTCGGCCTCTCAGCACCAGGAGGAGCTCCCTCCCCCGCCACTGCCCCCGGGCTGGGAAGAGAAGGTGGACAATCTTGGTCGGACCTACTACGTCAACCACAACAACCGGACCACTCAGTGGCACCGACCAAGCCTGATGTGAGTACCGTCCCGTGGACGGGAACCGGGTCGGAGGGTGGAGCGGGGTAGTTCCTGGGGGCAAATAGAGTGGTCAGTCCTGGATCAGAGAAAGTATGTGGTCTTACGGGGAGACCGCCTTCATCTTCATTTAGTTAAAGAGCACGGGAGCCCCTCAGAATTCACTTGTGCTAGAGAAGCACCTCTTGCCTTTGTTTCGTGTTCACCTGTTCTGAGTATGAACTAATTCATTTTGTATGTCTTTTTATGTAGGCTCATGAAATAGAGGTTATTTTTCCTAAGTGTATCTTAAAGGTGGTGGTGCTGTCACTTCCCTCGTACTCCTCTTCCTCTCCTGACTAACCCACAATGGAAAACAGCAGCCAGATAGGCTGTGCAATTTTCTCTGAAGTTTTTGGATTTTTACTCCCTTTAATTATTTGATTTGGGAACACAACTTATTTTTTTCCTTTTTGGGAAATTTGTAAATCACCCCCTTGATCTCACTAGACACTCTTGGGAGGGTTGCTAGCTCAGAGTTAGTCATTAATGTTTATTCTGTTCCCTCACTAGCCTCTGGGATAGTGAATTGATTACTGTTTTGTTCACACAGCAATTTCGTATTTGAAGGTAGAAAATAAACACTAGTTAAACCTTAGCTGCATTTAAAAAGGATTTGAAGCAGCTTGCTTTTAAATCATGGTATACAGCAAGACCAAAACTGTTACTATACAATAAAAAGCAAAGCAAAATAATTAAAGGAAGGAAAAGTAAAAACTTTGAAGATTTGAGCTCCCTAGCAGCCAAGACAAGTAGGGTAATTATCAATGAGTTATATAATTTTCAATATATAATAAAAATAACTATATTAAGTGACATCATTCTCTCTTTAACCCAGACTCTGAAATAAATTTGCTAATGATGGTTTTTAAACAAATCTATTAGCAATGTGTTGGGTGGTGGTGTCAGTAAGCCTCTTATCTTTAGATGTTCTAGAGAGATTCTGCTTATGACCATGAGTTGGGAAGGTAGCCAAGAAGTCTAGTCCAGGTTTTATTTAAGTTGTAGATGAATCCAGTCCTTCCTGAACCCCCGGGTGGGTTCCTGTGCATATCAGCTGTCTTTGGTCAGCCCTAGACCCAGCTCATCATTCATAGGACAGTGTCAGCATCCAAACATCCAAATGATGAGCTCTTCTTCTGTTGTGATTTTTTTCCCCAAAGAAATACAAGTGGAAATGGTTTAGTTAATTCTTTCCTTTTTATTTTTTACTATTTTCCCTTGGCTTAATCACCATTGCTATTGTGAAACCGTTTTAAGCCATTTGACTATTGGACACCCCCCCACACACATCAGCTTGGTTGCATGTCGTGATCGGGAATCTTGAATCAGTCTCAGTAGCCGTACCGTAAGGAAGGCGCTGTTATCTTCCTTTGCTGAACATCACTGGACACATCCCATTCTGTGGACCACAGTGTCCTATAACCTCTGTAGAAAAGTGACCACTAGCAGCTCACAAAGAAATAACTAATGGCCATACATACGTGTAAAAAATACCATTATAATCATGCAGACTGAATGAAGTCTGTTATTTTGGGGTAAGTGGAAATCTTTGCTTTTTCTGCTGGCCAGAGTCGTGAGACTCTGATGAGGAAGTTCCTGAGAAAAGACTTCGGATGTTTCTGTAAGCATACCACCGTGGTGGCAATGTCCCAGAGAACTAAACCAAAGCAGAAGAGATCATTTCTGTTCAGAGGGACATGGGAAAAATGCAGCTCCTCATCCAAGGTCAGGTTCACATGTAGTTTAGGGAGTGGTCAGTGGCGTGACTGTCCCCATCCCTGCGGCAGCTCTGCCAAAGAGGGTGAACCAGGAAGGATATCAGCAGAGCCCAGGTGGGGCCCAGGGCGTGCGTCCCCTCCAGTGGGCGTGGCTTCTAGAAAACAAGAGAAGAGTTAGTTTCCACAGTAACCTCTTCATCCTGTCTGAACGGTTTCAGGAATTTGAGGTGCTTTCTCCTTAACTTCACTTGGTTTGGCCAGAAACCCTCAAGCCTTCCAGAATTATTTTAAAGTACTGTTCTGATTAAAAAATAACTACTTTCATAATTCAGTGTTTACAGAATACTGCCACGCTCTTGGGGAGAAAATTGATATTAAGAAGTGTCTTTGTTTTTATTTTTTAATTTTTTTTTTTAAGGTTTTTATTTATTTGAGAGCATGAGCAGGTGGGGGGGTTGGGATGGGGGCAGAGGGAGAAGCAGGCTCCCCGCTGAGCAGGGAGCCCAACAGGGTCTCGATCCCAGGAACCTGGGGTCATGACCTGAGCCGAAGGCACATGCTCCACTGACTGAGCCACCCAGGCACCCCTACAAGTGTCTTCATTAAAAAGCTCGCTCTGTCTGAGGAAGTGAGACCCTGAAAACCCTATGCTAAAGCAGGGAGTTAAGGCCGTCTCAGTGACTCTGGTCTTCCCCAGTTCATGAGGCCTGTACTCCGAACTTGAACCGCCTGAAAAATCTGCGGTGACAGCTCGTTGCCCTCCGGCTGTTCTTGCCGCTCCCGCACCCTGTCTCTTGCCAGATCCCCCACCCACAGCGTGTCGAGTGGCTGGACCTTCCACAGCTGCCGTCTGATCCCTTTCTTCTCCGCCCCGTGGACGTGGTAATGCGCCCCCACCCCCACCCCAGACTGGAACAGAGCTGGAAGGCCCCTGTTCTTCCGGCTGCCTTAGAGGCCAGCTTCCCCGGCATAGCGTGGAGCACACAGTGCTCCCCCTTGCCAAGTTGGAGCTGGGACGGTGTTTTCTTCTCACAGATCCGCCCCTTAAGCGCCTGGCCCCAAGGAGGAGCTCAGCAAAGCGCCTCGTAACTGAATGAATGAGCGCAGATGACTCACTTGGGAAAGTGATCCCAGGCATGCGGCTTAGTGAGCCGTCTAGGTCCGCGTAGGATCCCAGGGTGGAAGGCCGACGGCGGAATGCTCCCAGCTCCCTCCAGACTGAGGGTGTCTTTTAAAGCGCCCCTAATGTTAGAATTCTCCTTGACCCTATTTAAAATGTTAGCTGTAAGCTCTTTACTGTAAAAAAAAAAAAAAACAACCCACCATTTTAGGGGCACCTGGGTGGTACGGTCCATCTGAGCACCGGACAGCTGGTTTCAGCTTGGGTCATGATCGCGGGGTCCCTGGGACTGAGCCCCACGGCAGGCTCCGCACGGGCTTGAGGTTCTCTTGCTCTCTGCCCCTCCCACTCGTGTTTTCTCTCTTTCTCCTCTCAGAATCTTTAACAAATACAATTTTAAAAACATGCTGAAGGAATGAAATTAAGGTTATAAATGAAGATGAACTTGAGACTGAAACAATTCCATTTCCTCTCTTTCTGATATACTTTGTACACCTTCTGTCATAGCAACAACGTTATCCTCGCGCAGTAACTCCTGTACCGGAGTGATCTCACGCAGATCTTCCTTGGCACTGAACTTGATAAGCTGATGGTTTATCTTGCCTTTATCCACTTGTATATTTCCCATGAACTTCAAATGAAGAATATATGTATATGAAGTCAGTGACTGAAAAATACTGAAATAAGTTTGATAAAATATTGGCTTGCCCCCCGTAAAGTCGTTTTTGTTTTAATCTTTCAGCTCAGAAATACTTTTAAACGTTCATCTTCCCATTAGTGACTCTAAATTTCCACTTTCAACAATCCTCACATTCAGTTGCTTAATGATACGCCAAAGACCTTCTTTGTGTGAACATTTCCACTTTATCACTAAAGATGGTAAAAACCCAGGTTTGGAATTTCAAAATCAGAGGTATCTTCTCTGTGCTGTTTAGTTGTTTCTGGTTCACGCCGATTACTATTGTATGAGCCAGTGGGATAAGAAAGATTTGCATAATTGATTTTAGGTGCACCCCCTTTAAAAGTAAGTCCTTCCAAAGCAATGGAATTTTATATACTTCTGAGAGACAGAAAATGCAGGCATCGTGGTATTAAAAGCTCATTTCTTAACCTCTCAGAAGTCCCTGTAGCCTTACAAGTATGCATTAGGACCTGGCACAAAGCACATGCACCTTAGTCACTCATTGTTGACTGAATAAATGTTGATTGGCCTTTCAAGTGAAGATTTAAAATTTGGATGAAACTCTTATAGAATATTTTAAAATAGGCCAGTCATAGGGTACCTGGGTGGCTCAGTCAGTTAAGCTGGTGAGACCCTTCGGCTCAGGTCACGAGGGAGTCTGCTTGAGATTCTTGGCTCTCTGTCTCTCTCTGCCCTTCCCCCCAACTTGTGTCCATCCACCCACCCCCCCTTCTCTCTCAAATAAATCTTTTAAAAAAAATAAATAAAGGCCAGTCATAGAAAGTGAAATTGCTTCCATCCTTATTAAAAAGGGAAAGGATAATGTTAAGATTCCTTTGCCATCTTACCTGCTACTAAAATTTTTTTACATATTTTGGAAAGAATTTCATTCTGGTCATTTCCCTTTCTAAGTATTTTTCTGTTCTGTAATAACTTACTACTCTTTATAATCATTGTGTGTTTTAAGAATTGAATGTTGTGTTAAAAGGACTGTGACAACATAAAATCACAAATGTTGATATTACCTTTTCTAACCTGTCCCACAAAGTGTCTTTTTTTTAATAATCATTTTGTTTTGGTAGTTTCAGACATACATTTGTATCCTTCTGTGTCCCTTGATTTTAATTATTTTCTCTATAGCCAAAGAGGTTTCAGTTTTCTATTTTAGGCTAGTTATAGTTCAGTATAACTAGAAAATACGTGAGATTTTTATTTCTGTTAGAGTTCCAAAGTTTATGTATCGTGTATGCAGGTACAGGAGAACTTAACTGATTCAGATTTTAGTAAGGAATTGTCATTCTAATGCTGATTAGATGGAAGCTGACCATATTACCATGTTTACCAGAAGTTAATGTAAAGATGTTTGTTGGAAATACACTATTTCTGAAATGGGCTTTGAAGGGTTATTTGTTTACTCATTCATAAGGTTTTATTTATTTGAGAGAGAGAGTCAGCATAAGTGGGGGAGAAGGAGAAACAGGCTCCCCGCAGAGCAGGAAGCCCAACGTGGGGCTCGATCCCAGGACCCTGGGATCATGACCTGAGCTGAAGGCAGATGCTTAACCCACTGAGCCACCCAGGGACCCCAGGAGTCACCTATTTATTTGTAGGCAGTGGTATTCACTATTCCAGGGATCCAACAGGCTTTTTATTGGGGTATAGTAAAAGTTAAAGAGTATATTTGAGTATTTTAAAACCTGTGTTATAGGACAAATCTATCAAGAGGTTTCTTGATTAATACTCTTCTCCCAATTAGTCTGAAATAATGTTTTCAAATATTTTGAAAGGTTAACTTGCAATAATCATTTTTTTTTAACTGAATAGGGTGTCTTATTCAGAGAGTTTTGAGTTTTCTCCAAAAAACATTTGGATCTTTAAACTTCTCTAAAAGTCAGCAAGTAGTATTTCTCCCAAACGGTGATTGCCTGTAATTTACTGCAAAAATTTTCAAGATTGAATTGATGCTTTCAGAGCCTGAACTAAGATATATGACCAAAAAAAAGAAGAAAAAAAAAAAAAACAGCACATGAAGTTACAGTGTTCAAATTCCCCTTCATTTGGGAAGTTACCACCTGATGTTTGTGTGAATTTTTTAAAAGTGGCTTAAGAGGGAAAAATATGGTGTCCTGATTCAGAGATTCTGTCAAAATGTAACCCACGGGGGTGCCTGGGTGGTTCAGTGGGTTAAGCCTCTGCCTTTGGCTCGGGTCATGATCTCAGGGTCCTGGGATCGAACCCCGCATTGGGCTCTCCGCTCAGCAGGGAGCCTGCTCCCCACCCCGCCCGCCCCCCCCCGCCTCCCTCTCTGCCTACTTGTGATCTCTGTCTGTCAAATAAATTAATAAAATCTTTAAAAAAAAAATGTAACCCACGGCAACCAAAGAAATTCATGTTGGACCAGGAACACTTCTCTCCAGATCTCAGCTTTGAGTTTGTCGTATTTCTATTCTTTGGCCAGTTGTTAAAGACCCAAAAGTTGCTGCCTTGGCATTGGTAAGTCTCTTCGTAGGGTCATGACCGACTGGCCCCAAGTCTGAGACCGGTCACCTGTCCTTTGAGAAACCTGCCTTATCACTAGATTAAACGGATGGAGGGCTGTGATTTCTCTCTCTCTCTTTTTTTTTTCTTTTTAAGATTTTATTTATTAGAGAATGAGCGGTGGGGAAGGGCAGAGAGAGAGAGAGAGAAGCAGACTCCTTGCCGAGCAGGAAGCCCCATGGGGCTTGATCCCAGGACTCTGGGGTCATGATCTGAGCTGAAATCAAGATGCTTAACCGACTGAGCCACCCAGGCGCCCCAGGGTTGTGATTCTTAAATACTAAAGTACCTTTTGCAGTTTATGCCTGAAAAATACTCAGAGCCGTCACCCCTGATGCATTTCAACACTGTATCTGTTGGATTGAAATGAACCTGCAACTATACTTAGCTGTGAGGGGAAGGCCCCTGGAGAGCACTGGACTGTGGCCCAGGTGCCGGGGACCAGTGCGGGCTCTCCCGGCTCACTTGCCCTTGCCCCCCATCCCCAGGGACGTGTCCTCCGAGTCAGACAGCAACATCAGGCAGATCAACCAGGAGGCCGCACACCGGCGCTTCCGCTCCCGCAGGCACATCAGCGAGGACCTGGAGCCCGAGCCCGGCGAGGGTGGAGACGGCCCAGAGGTAAGCTGGACCCCACGGCCTCCGCACAGCTTATCTTCGTGTGCCCCAGGTTGCTTCCGAGTCCTTGGTTTTGCTCTGGGTAAATGCGGTCTAAAAACGGGCGATCAGAGTCTCCCGGCCCACTGACGACCATCGGGGTGTTCCTTCATTTAGGAAGTGCTTACAGGAGTTGTGTTTGATGAATACATGTGTCTGTGCATTACAGAAGGGAGTGACATTGTTTCTAATAGTGGAAATCTTGATACTTTCACTGAATAATTTACTTTTCCCCCCCGAGTCTGACCGTATCTTACTGAATAACAATGTGGTTGTCCTGTTTCTGTGGTTGAATGAGCTCTGTAACTTGTGTGGGTACCACGAGCTTTCACTGAGCGGTGTTGACAACATCATGAAAGAGATTTATTACCAAGAAGATAGAAATTTGGGTGAATTTCGGAAGGTTTATTATTTTTCCCCTTAAATGTTTATGGTAAATCGCTAGAGGAAAAATTAGGAATTGAACAACAAATGAGCAATTACCGTAACTACATGCAGCCTTAACCAACTCCGTTTCCTTACTAAAAATCCATTCTTTCCAGCCCGTGTGTTAGGAAGAGGATCATTCACAAAATGTTCCAGCGCTCAAATTTGGAAAAGCAAAATTAATGATGATTAATTCACTAAAAGTTACTTAACAGCACTTTTTAATTACAGCTTATAGCATCTCTGCTGTTTTCATTTTGACTCCTCAGCAGTAAAAGAAAATCCCTGAAAATCGTGAATGCATTCCTGAGAACATTTTAACCCATGCATGTAGTCACTCCTACTAGAAGTGATTCACTGCTCGGAGGGGTGGTGGTACACAGTGGTTAAGAACGCGGCCCCTCGAGCCAGGCTTCCTTGGATCCATGCCTGGCCCTGCCACTTCCTCTCTCTGTCCTCTTTGGCATGTTACACTCTGTGCCTCGGTTTTCTCATCTGTCATTTAGGGTAGTAGTCACATCTTCCTCATGGTTATAGAGAAGGTTGTGTGTCTTCTCAGTGCCGGGTAAATGTTAATTATAGTTAATATAATGGTTATTGTTGTTGGCAAGGTGACGAGAGGATCCCTTGTTCCTGCCATTTACCCCTGCGTCTCTCTTTCCTTGATAGCCTTGGGAGACCATTTCCGAAGAAGTGAACATCACTGGAGACTCCCTCAGTCTGTCACTGCCCCCACCGCCGTCCTCTCCAGGGTCTCGGACCAGCCCTCAGGAGCTGTCTGAGGAACTGAGCAGAAGGCTTCAGATCACTCCAGACTCCAATGGGGAGCAGTTTGGTTCTTTGATTGTAAGTGATGGTCCTGTTTGAATGAGAAGTTGAGCAAATGTTTTACCATTTCTTACTGCCTTAAGAGAGTCTTGTGTGCAAATAATGATCAAGATTCTGCCAGCTCCCAGAGAACTCTTACATTTTCCAAAGCTCTGTCTTTCCTAAGAGGATGATACCAAAATTAGTCCAAGCAGGTGAGACTCTTTCTTGATTTGTAAGAACTCAAGTAAATAAGAGTTCATGACTTTTTTTTTTTTTTTTTTAATCAGCTGTGACCCTGAATGTCTTTTCCCAGCCAAAGGCTCATAAATAGTACCTTCATCACAAAGGTGGTAGTTCACACTGGGACCTAAGAGCCATTGGGCCTCTTAATGAGTTCTCTTAATGTGTACTCTGCTGCACCCTTCATCATTCTCATGTCACAGATGAGCCATGATGTTGAAGGGGCCCATCCAAGACAAAGTTAGAATGGGAGACAGAAGACCTCCCCTAAGTCCCAGCGAACAAATCCTTAAGAAAGATTATGAAGTTGTGGCAAGGACCTCAGGGTAACATTTGAACTCGGATTTTCCACCATTGGGGAGCCTCTTTCTAGAAACTTCGGATGGGGCTGAGCTCCAGTAAGAAGCAGCATGAAGTCCTCCCTGTTTGCCAACACAAAACCGTGCAGAAAAGTCCATAGGAAAAACACCTGCTTGTATGTAAAGTTGAGAACAAATGCAGTCTGAATTGTTTCTCAAGAAATTGAACGTAAAGATGTGTTATAGTAAATGATAGTAGTCACTCCACTGAAAATGGCGTCCTAGAAAAATAGTCGTTATTACAGCCATTGCAGACGGTAGTGGATGGGAGGACCTTGTCAGTTGTAAAAGCATGTGAGTGTTCACAGAGTCGTTACTCCTTCAGTTACGTGTTTTCATTTAAAGACACCATTGGCCTATATTGTATGAGTCGATGTGATTACTCAGCTAATGGGGCTTTATATTAAAATTCTATAAATGTTTTTTAGAGAGAGAAACACCACTGAGATAAAAAATTTAATACTAAAAGGACAGGGGAAGAAATTATGTGTGGGATATTTGCATTAGTGAAACTGTTGCTGTGGAAATGACCTAAGCAACGAAGCCATATTTAAAACCTATAAAAGGTAGTAAGTAATGCAAGAACCACAGCAGGTGTCCACCTGTAGTCTACCCAGTAAAATAATCAGCATTTTCTTCAGCATTAGTATTAAGTTAGTATCTCCACTTATTTTTATGGGTACCTGCCTGCATTTAATTATTCCAGGTGCATAAAATACTTTCAACATCCAAGTGCAAACAAACAAAAGATCCAAGTGCTGGAGTCAGTATTATTTTAATATTGTTTTGAGTCTGATTCAGCGATTAAGACTGTCTTGGAAAAAAAAAGAATACGGGACTCCTGGATTTTGCTTCTCAGGGTCACTCCACATTCAAAGACAGTAGCATGCCCTTTTGCTAGCGAAGGAATCCTTCATGCTAACCATTGTGCAAGGACACGAATAGGGCCCCATCACTGAGGCAGGGTCTGTCTGACTTGACCCCACTTTACTTACCATTGCAGAGTAGCACGAATCAGGGAGTGCTACCCACGTACTTCTCCCACGGGTGAGCCAGTTGCTGATTAGACACGTGGCCTGTGTGTGTGTGTGTGTGGCCTACTGCTGTTCCCTGATTGGATCTGTGAGGCTTTTTTCCTCACAATACAGATTAATACAAACGAGTGGAGGAACATTATACATCGCACACTCGATGTTCTAGCTTAACGTCCTATTTTCCCTTCCTCCTGTTCTGTACGACTTCAGCTCCATTTGGAATCCAAAATGATAAATGTGTGAGCCTTAAAAGTAGCACAGGAACGGGTCTGAGTTCTCTGGACTTTGACTCCAGCTGACCCTGTCTGTGGAAACGTGCAAGAAATGTCTGATGACCGCGTGTCAGTATTTGGTCGTCTGTTCACGGCTCAGGGGAGCTTACCCCGCGGGCGCATCTCAAAGCAAAGCAAGGACTGCTGGCTTCCCGCTTCCATTTGTAGAGCAGCACGGGAGCCTTACACTGGCCTCTTGAGTCCCCTTTCTTGTTTTGGCCTCTTCCTCCTGTTTTTGCTGTTCCTCCTTCCCAAGAACCAGTGAGAATCCCAGTCCGCCCAAAGCGCTTGAAAATGCAAGATTACTCGACTGCTGGATTACTTACTGCGTGGCTCAGGAGAGCTGGTGTTTCGTTTAATTACCTTCTGATACCAAAGAGCACTCGGGACGCTTGAGGGACCTTTTTCTTAAGCCAGTGAACCTTGTTGTTCCTGTGCCTGTGTTTTCATAATGCTCCGTGTCCTTTCCTCCCTTCAGCAGAGAGAGCCGTCCTCAAGGTTGCGGTCCTGCAGTGTCACGGACGCGGTCGCCGAGCAGGCTCATCTACCACCGGTAACCACACCCCCCGCCGGTCCCTGGTTGGCTGACATGGCTTGTATTTTGAAATCATCTGGGCTACGGAGGAAGAGTTTTTCCTGTGCAAATCCATTCTCTGTCGGAATGAGACTTTAGGCTTTCCTGGCAAATTGCCTAAGGAGAGTGGATTTCTAATAACTCAGAGTTATTGCCACAAAGGCTCTGGAATGCTAAAAACTTTTCATTGCTTTGCTTTTCCACCCAAATGAATACCAGATTCTGATGTGCTTACCTGACTTAAACTACTTAACAAAAGCATGGTTTAATAATTCTTTTCTTTTTTTAAGCTTCATTTAGTCACTAACACTGTGCTCCAGTGAGCTGTATCTCAAGACCGTTCTGAATCCCTTTGAACAGGAAGAACTCTTCTGGGTTTGCAGGGAGCGGTTCTTTCCCATCACTAATGGCCTAAACTCTTAACCCACAAAGCACCTGTACCTTCTCTGGAAGGGCAGCTCTACTGACTAAAGAATTGGCTGTAATTTCTTCCCACCCTCCCACCATGTTCAGAACTACCAGTAAATATGGGAGAATGAGGAATGATTGACAATATAGGACAAAAATAAGAGTGAATATTCAAATTGGAAGGCAGACCAGGACTGCCTTGGGAGAGGTTTGGCGTACGCAGTAAAAAGATTTTTGTAAATTTGTTTCTTTTGGAGGAGAAACTATTTTGTGGTTTCAGCATGTTCAGCTCCTTTAACCTTGACCAGTTTTTGTTTTTTATTAGTGCAAATACTTGCTCATTTGGGGGGGACTAATACTTTATCGTGTATGAAGTTAAAGGAAAAAAAGATAGTACTTACAAGTATTTGCAATCATGGTATCTTTCCTGTTGCGTACATTTTTATTTCAAAGCACGTTGTTGCCCGTGTTTTTTATGGTGATGGAATGAATTCACGAGTGTGCGGGTTAGCTGAGTAGTCAGTACAGTGCATTCTGTTGTGGCGCACATAGAATGGACGGGATCGTCAGAAGCTTGACAAGAGCATCCTTTCTGGGATGGTTTAGTACAGGCCTCCCCGAAGACCAGAGTAATCAGCTGTGGTAGCCTGGGGAGGGGATCCTGCTCAACCTGATGATTCTGTGATTTTCCTGGATGAATTAATGGCACTTTACCTCCTTTTCAAAAATTAATGTCAATTTTATCTATCAAAGAACTCACTCTCCTGGAAAACTGTTGATTCCTCCCTCTTTCTCTGTACTCTGTAAAGCTGTCAACTCACGGATCACTGGTGGCCTCTTACTCAAATTATGAGTTTGGCGGATTTTAAGAATCTGCCTACTTATTTAACAACAGGGGCAAAACTGGAGTGGTTGTTTTGAGAAGACCTCTCACATTCCTGAGGTTGCAGTCCATTTTTCCCCAAATCATGGCTTCAGCCTGAGCCTTCTCTGGGTGGGAGGGTGATCATGTCCCTGTTTTTCTCCGGGTCATCAGTGAGTGGTTGCCCAGCTTTCTTTGGACAGAGTGGATTTGAGGGATTCTGATTCATGTCACCTGCCTTACTGGCCTCAGCAGTGATTCCTGATTCAGTAAGCAATGGGTGGTCTTCCTAATAAGTGCATTTCACTGATGTGAATTGTCATTCAACAGCCCAGTGCCCCAACTAGGAGAGCGCGGTCGTCAACTGTCACAGGTGGTGAGGAGCCAACGGTAATGATGCCCTTGATCAGACACTATAGCAAAACTGGGGGTTTTAACATTTTGCATAATGGTGACTATACCTTTTTTGGATAAGCTCAGCTTCTTCGTGCTACAGAGCTATACATACTGTAAACCTCTTACATTGTTCAAAGGTAGTGGGTAAAACTATGATTTTTCATCTCATATAGTTTTATTAGGAATACTGTGTCAGACTTCGATAAAGAGGATTTAATTTTATTTAAAATGTATTTCTGGGACACCTGGGTGGCTTAGTCAGTTAAGCATCCAACTCTTGATCCCTGCTCAGGTCTTGATCTCAGTGTCCTGACTTTAAGCTCTGCGTTGGGCTCTACACTGGGCATGAAGCCTACTTACAAAAGAATAGAAAAGAAAATACTTCTGCCACACTTGCTTTGACAGCACGTCTACTAGAATATATTGCTACCTTTAATGTTTGTCCTCCTGGTCAGTTTTTCTTGTTTGTTAGACTACTTGGGTAAAATAATAGGTTTGGATGAGAATAGAGAAGCCACAGGAACCATACGCAGTTAACGCTGTGGATTATGGTCTTGCACACGGCCCACTTCTCTTGCCCATTTCCCATACCAGATTTTACATGCTGTGCTAGATTTACTGTGTCGTGAGCATGAACTGGTGACCCTGCTCTGCCACAAGGGTCTCTACTCACAGGAATGAACAAGTGTTACATAATTTGGGGGCAGAGACGAAGGAATATGTTTAAAAAAGTTTGAAAGGTCTAGAGAAAAAAACAGTTTCTCTGAGCCAAGTATACGTTACTCTTACTACTTTAAGTAATTTTTAGCATTCATGTTTTTGGGTGACTTGGCTAGGACTGTGTACTTCAATTGCCTGGTTTTTGCTTGACCCCTAGAGACAGGCTCAGCTTAGAGTTTAGCTTTGATCCCCTGCAGCTCTTGGAAGAATTTTCCTTACTGTGTCACCATTGTTAGGTTTGGTATAACACCTATTACTTGAGAATACCTTTAAATACACTTGCGGTTGCTGATTTTTGGCAGGACGTGGACGTAAAGGAGTAATTCAGTTACATTGTTAGACTTTAATGCTCAGCATTGCACACAGGAAAATCAGATTGGCATGCAACAAAAACGAGCCCAGTGTGAGGTATTGAACTATAGTGATTTCTGTGCACGTCATCTGTTGGGGGCCCAGGCTCAGCCTCCAGTAGAACTGAAGAAATTCTAAATGAACTAGCGTATTTCCTACTGTGCACGAGTAACATCTACCAGAAGCAGAAATTTCAAGGTGGACAAGATCATGTCACTAAAGAATTCTAATAGAATTTAGGGCTCTTAAGCATTCTTTATCACCCATTTTTGCATTTTATAGGAGCCTTGGAATCTGCTGTTAGCACTGGAGTGTTGTGATAGCTGAGGATATTAAGCGACAGGATAAACCGAATTTTGAGAGCCCTGGGCTCCATGGTGAGAGGTACTTGGCGGGACAGAGTGACCCATCTGAATGAGGTCCTGTGGCCCCTGCCACTACCGTGTCTGTGCCCTCCCCCAGCCCTGAATTAAAAAAAATAGATGTTTGGTTTTGTTTATTTTTAAAGACTGGGTAGAAGGCCTTCCCAAATGCTTTCCTGTTCTCATGTTTCCCACGTACCTGGTGACCTTTCGGTTGCCGTACGCCAGCGTACCTGATGGCTGCATTAGAAACTGAGGTTTGATGAAAGTATGTTTTTCAATTCCGTCTCCCCTCTTGTACACCCTCTCCTGCCCCTGCTTGCCAGCCCCACGTGTACTGTCTCCTGCCGGAGCTACCCTGAGACATACCCTCTCCCTCCATCCCCCTGTGCTCCCGCAAACATGCGTGGCACATGTGCACACATGCAACTGGGATGTCATGTACACGTCACTTAGCACCTCGATAGTTTTCACTTGTGGTCCTTCCTCTGGGACCTTCCTCTGGGACTGAATACCTACTATTCAGTGATGTGAATGTTCCTCAGTTTATGTAATTTTCCCCCACCGGGGAGCATTCAGCTTACCCCTATCCTCCTGGGGTAGGGTTGCATTAACCCTCCTGGGGAACATTTCTTCCCATGGAAGTGCTTTGACTGTTGCAGCCTTAATGAACAGCCCCTGATTCCCATCTGTGGACCCACAACCCTTTGTTTTGAGAACACACACTGGTGTATACGCACATATAGTACACACTGGGGTTGCTTTCCGGCTGGCCATGCAAGCTGGCCTGCTCTAAGATAAAAGGGAGAGGGATGGTACGGTCCTTCTGGACTTTGCTATATATACCTAAAAATACACTGAGTTAACAGTATGGTAGGGTGTGAGCAAATCTTGGGGAATCTGTGATAATACCAAACTGTTGATCGTCTTTAAAAGCAGATTGAATCTGTGATCAACTGTTGATGGTCTTTAAAAGCAGATTGAAACTTTTGCAGTTTACACATAATAGATTTCTCCGTCTTAATGAAATAAACGGAGCCACTAGGATAGGCTGGTTGGCCGTGCAGACACAATTGTCTGTTCAGATGAAAAGCTGGAAATTGTTTAATTGCTCACTAGCACGTTATAACTTGTCTCTTGATTAATTAACTTGCTTCTTGAAGTCCTCTGGAACGCACATGTGAACACACACACTCAGCAGCAGGAGAAATTGGATTTTGGCTCCAGAGCTGGGTCTGCCTGGAGAAGCTGTCCTGGCTCGTCCCCAGTTGCGTGCAGGGAGAGCAGTGTTACGGGTCACAAATGCTGTTGTTGTTCTCGCAAATACGTTGTTCTCCATGGCCGTGTAGAAAGAAATCCGTAAAGACGGATTCTAATAACACCATCTCATGTAAATGGAGCTAGATTATAGGTTGCCCATTCAATTCTCAGTACAAGGTAAAATGAGCCTGTTCATCAAAATCACTGTTCTCTCCTGCACTCTTAGTTTCCAGAAACTGATTAGTCCCATTAACTGGATCTGCGAGAGGAGGTCTTACCGCTTTTGAATTTGATTCTGAGATTAACCATGGCACCTCCAAGTTCATATAGTTTATGGTGTCTCCCCATAAGAACTCTTCCAGGGACTCTGTCACTTTAATACTATCTTGATGGTTTCCAGAACAGAGCTTTCGGAGTGCAGATCTGATTTCCTCTCCCTAAACTTAACTCAGTGGGGAGGGAAATCTGCACATTCCATACAGGATTCCATTTAGCCCAAGCGCGTTGGACCGTCATATAAACAACAGTAGGTCAGGGATGGATGGCGGATACTTTGCCAAAAATAAGAATTGACCACTTAGGTTACAGCGTGGCTTCTGACTCAGTTCAGCAGAGTCCGATTTTTGTAGTTCCTGGAGAAAAAGTAGTCTAGAAATAGCTCTTTTGGATGGGTGCCCCAGCAAGGAAAGGGGGAGGTAAGAGCTTGAGGCTATAGACGAATTCATCTGTCTTCAGTCTTCACAGAAGGCTCGAGTCTGCATGTTGACATCACTTCCTCTCTTGCGGCCCCACACCTAGATCACAACCCATACGGTCTCACGGTCTAGAAAGTACCATTTGGGGCCTTCAGGACTTCATCTGGGAAGAGGTCAGGAAAATAGTTACTGTAGTTTGAGCCCAAAGTCCTCTTACAGATAATCTTGCGTTGCATGGGAAACTTGTTTTAGAAATAACCATTGAGACAGCTGCTTCGTGGCTCAGTTTTTCTCTGGGATGTGCTGTCAGGCTCAGAGAGTAGAATATTGAGGCTCAGGAACTGTACTCCCCAAAGTACATGGCAGTGAAGTTGAGTGCACTTTCCAGTTCACGATTGTGCAGTGGCCCACGGGCCCTCCGACGGGGACCCGCCTCATCAAGGCACAGCGTTGGTAGTGAACTGGAAAGACATGATGCGCACACGGATTTGGGCTCAGAGACTCACCTTCTCACCCTGACACCCACCTGGTAAAACACCCAGAGGTTCCAAGATCCTGATGAGGGAAGACGGTTCCCAAAAGAAGCGGTTTCTTTTGTCACCTCAGGGAGAGATGATTCTTGATGTATGGCCTCCTGCGGCTTCGATGCTCTCCCAGCAGCCTTGGTGGCTGCAGTTGGCTTGTTTCTGAGTCCCCCCCCCCCCTTGGGGTAGCATCCCTTGCTCATTTCCAGAACTTCTGTGCTGCATCCATGCACGCAGCACTTCCCGGGACGGCACGGACCTCCAGGGTCCATGTCCTTTTCCATGAATCTGAAACATCCTTGCTATTCCCATGTTCCTCCGCCCAGACCGCATTTCTCAGACTGCTTCCTGCAAGCAGAAGTGTCTCCTGATTCTCAGGAATCAGTCTCATTTGGAAGATGCTGGTGCAGTCACTCTGTACCGGACGAGTCTCTGAACCCAGAAACTGTGCGTGCTGCTTTCACCCTTTTAAAGACAGACAAGCTCGGTGTGGGAGGACAGGGACAGGTAGAGCCTCGGTTCTCAGGATCCTCTGGAATTCTAGCCTCAGCCAGCCCTGCCGACTTGCTGATGGGGGCAGCGGAGCTGTCCTGGTAGGGCTTCATGGCTGCGTGCCCTGGTGTGCGTGGCTGGAGGGAGACTGTATTTTTTTTGTCCCTGAAGGCTATCGTGGCAAGTTCTAAGCTGATGAAGACTTCAGGAATTAGGAGAGCATCTCCGTGGCAACTATATTGAGGGGAAAAAGTGTTCTGAGCATCCTTTTCTTGGTAACCTTTGACAGTTTGAAATAACTTTTGAGCTCTGTGTGGTTTGATAGTAAAATCTAGTAACAGAAACAGATCGTAAGTTTCTCTTACGATATGAGCAACAGTCCTTTAAGGGTTCAGGCCTTTACAGTGGACTTCAGTAAGACTTTGGGCCTTGTGGCCATGTGGGGGTTCATCTCACAGTAGATGGGAAGCTGTCGGAAATCAGTTGCCTTCTTTCCGGACACTAATGTTTTTGGTACAAGTGAAATTAAATTGCCTAGTCTAGAAAAAGTAATTCTCTGGGTGTACGTTACTTTATTAAACTGATGAGAAAGCAAATGCAGGATATTAAATAATGATGATTTCTTACACAAACAGCCATCAGTGGCCTATGCGCACACCACACCGGGCCTACCTTCAGGCTGGGAAGAAAGAAAAGATGCTAAGGGACGCACATACTATGTCAATCATAACAATCGAACCACAACTTGGACTCGACCTATCGTGCAGGTACGCAGACCGTCTACAACTACAGTCACAGGTCATAGAAGCCGAAATGTCCGCAAGCTCACTGTTCCCATGGTGAATGTGTTGTTCTAAAGGACCCACGTTTAGGAAGATGTTCTCACGAAGAAAATGTGTGACTCTAAGCCTGATACTTGCCTGAGGGAGAATTCGGTCCCAGATCAGTCAGTCCATCCCTAGAGCCGGTTTTAAAGTGGGGCGTGAGAGCCTGTCACCGTGTGTAGCTTCTGTCCCAGCCCCGCTGTTTTCCCCAGGCTGGTTCTTAGGCTGGGCTGGTGATTCATTTGTTTCCTTGGAGTGTGTTCCTCTGTCCGTGCCCCCGTCATTAGGTTTAATCGTTTCCTCCACGCTGGAAATCGGCCAGACCTCTTATTAGTGCTGGCTGCCTTGTTGTTTGGGTCCACGCTCCCGATCACTCGCACAGGGGGAGCCTCCCGTGAACCTAACTTGTTTTTGCCTCCAAAATAGCTCGCCGAAGACGGTGCGTCCGGATCCGCCACAAACAGTAACAACCACCTAATCGAGCCTCAGATCCGCCGGCCCCGTAGCCTCAGCTCGCCGACTGTAACCTTATCCGCCCCGCTGGAGGTGAGAAGGCTGCCTCGTGCTCTCACCGGGTCACTCTGTCCCGGCACTGCTCGTGCTCCTTGCTCATCTCACTGGGTTTGAGTTCTGCAGCCCCGGTGCTCTCTCTGGTCATTCGTGGTGTCCGTGGTGCGGGACGCCCACGTGCAGGCTTCCCTCATCCATCCTTCATGCTTCTCTGTGCCACCCGGCTCGCACCCGTGGCCGCCACCTGAGTCCCATTCTCATTCGGCGGCCGCCACGGGTCTTCGTGCTGGAAGGGGACGCCTCTCTTCCATACTTGCTCCATTCTCCTTGTGTTTTGTTCTTGACCGCGTGAATAACTCTCCCTTTCCGAGACTGATGCCTCCACCGCGTTTTCAAACACAGCTGTTGCTTTGATCATTTCTCTTTTTTTCCTTTCAACTGTAGGGCCTGTCGCTGTACAGGCATCCGTGTTTCTGATGCACGCTCGCATCTCGAAGCCACGGCTGGGCATCTGCTTGTGCTCTGCTGTTTGTGTTGGTGCCTTCCCTTCACATCACAAGTGTCCGCGTTAGAGAAGCCAGAGAGTGAATGTGTGACGTTCTGACCTTGACTGTGTCTCAGAGCTAGCCGTGGGCCCCATCCCGGGGCTTCTGATGCTGACGACTGGGAGTGGATGTGATCGCTTCCCAGCTGGGGTATAAGCGCTGCGGGTGGCCCCTGTGCTAGTCTGACGGCTGTCTCCGTGGGTGCTGGGTCTTCTCTCTCTGCTTCGTAACTGCCTCCCCCTTCCTCATTAGACTGTGAGCTCATTACGAGCAGGGGCACACGTTCCTCCGCCCTCTGTGAGATTTCCATCGTGTTCACTACAGAACCATGTTTTGGGTGTGTACTGAGGAAGCTGTCCAATGACCTTGGTTTTAAGTACTTAATATTGTCATGTGCTTAACCAGCCGAGAAACTTGGAAAGTTAGATAGGCTGAAAAGTAAATGGATGACGGAAACAGGTTTCAGGAGCTTCTCTGTCGTGCCTCCAAAGAGGAGCGTTCCTTGTGTACCCGGGTCCGTTTTGAGACCTCCGGAAGAGCCCTGGTAAGCGTTCTAATGCTCCTTATTATTCCTTAGGGCGCCAAGGACTCGCCCATACGCCGGGCTGTGAAAGATACCCTTTCCAACCCACAGTCCCCACAGCCATCACCTTACAACTCCCCCAAACCACAACACAAAGTCACGCAGAGCTTCCTGCCGCCCGGCTGGGAAATGAGGATAGCGCCCAGCGGCCGGCCCTTCTTCATTGACCACAACACAAAGACTACAACGTGGGTAAGGCGCTGCTTTTGTTTGGTTCCGTTTTCGTCGCGAGGTCTGCCATGGAGTCCGATTTCCTTACTCAGGAGCCCTGTTTCTTGGAGGGAAGGTTCCCTGACCCTGAAACATGGCCCCAAGGGGACCTCCTCAGCCTACATCTGGACGTGGCTTGGCAGGGCCAGTGGGGGTTGGGGGTGGTGAGGAGGGGGCCTCTGGGCACAGGTTTATGGCTGCCTCTGGGATTGGCGCCAGTCCTTCATAGGACTCCTGGAAGGTTCTAGTCCTGACAATTTACCATAGTGGGGAGAAAGGTGTCGTGCTCCCCAGGGCCAGGAATTTGATGTCATGGCTTCATTTCCCATGATCCTCTAATTTTATTAGGCGTTCTAATCTTTTTTAAATCATTTCTCCTCATCAGTTTTTTTCTGCATTTCTGTTGACACGATCACCTTTATTTGATGTGTCCTTTTAGTCTTCACTGTTCACATCACATTCATGTTTTATACTCCTGTGCTCTGTCTCATTCCTTTAATTTGGGCGTTAAGAGATGTACTGAGGACTTTGGTTGTAAATTTGATAGATCTTTCTGGTGAATGTTTTGTCAAAACTGATTTCTTCTGATGCTGTTGCTCTCCCATGTGCCCCTGAATCCTGCAGGAGAGACAATCTGTTGGATTAACGAACACGATCAGATGAATCAGAGGTGCCCATGTATATCTCTGTATGCCTCAGTCCGTCTTTCATTCCTGAGCTGAATTCGTGGTGTCTTATTTAACGTAGCATGTAGGTCCTTTTTAGAAGTCAGTGGTGTGTTTCTGCTCTGTTGGTCTCTAGACCTGTGATTAAACTGCACTTGGTTTTCTTGTTTCTATTTCTGATGCCACAGGAAGTGTTGCTTTTCTTCCTGTCCCTTGTATCCCTGCCTAATTCTCCGGGTACAGAGCTTAAGTCTGTCCTTCTGTCTGTCATCTGTACTGCTTGAGTTTGGGTGATGGTTGCTGGCCCAGCCATGTGGTCTTACACTTCCAGTGATCACGTATAAATTCCCACTTCCAGTGAAGGCACCAAGTGTTGTGTACAGTTGATAGAACAGTAGTGTTGTGTTAGGAAAGAGGCCTGGACCACAGGGGCCAGTCACTCCCGCTTGGCCCATGGTGTCCGTTCACTAAGTCCCTAAAGGGTTCACACTCTAACATCCGGCGGCTCGTGACGCAGCGCGTCTCCACAAAGACGTTCTCTGCCTTTGGGGCAGGACCGTGCCTTTCATGGCGGGGCATCCGGTGTGCTTGGCTCCTGCTGCTGAAGGCTAATAGCCACCGTTCCTCCCCCGCCCCCCGCCACAGGGACAACCAAAAATGCCACCACATGTTCTAAACAGTTCTTACTGAGACCCACTCAGAGTTCTTCCTCTTCGGAGGTGAGGGGAACTCATCATGGAGATCTGGTGACATTTCATTTAACGAATTCACAACCGTTCCCAAGGCCCATGCTAGCATGTCACTCTGTCCTACGTGCCTTTTCGCCCAGAGATGATATGACAGGATTGTGGGCAAGTTGAGAATGAAAGGCCGCTCTTTGGAAAAGACAGTCATAGAGGTTTTTAGGCCTTTCTTTCCCTAGTGGATGTGGAACCTGCGGCTGTCACGCTGTACTTTCCAGCCCAGAGCCAGAAACGGGAGCTCCAGACACAGGGTGGAGGAGGAGATGGATGAGCTAATGTACAGGCCGCTGTGACCCCCCCCCACCTCCAAGCTGCAAGGGGAGGCATTCGAATGAGCTTAGCAGTCGGGTCTCCAAACCTTCTCGCCATTGTCCACACCACAAGTGCCGTGGCATTACAGCTGGCATGGGTTTCTGGTAACCTCCACACCAGCTTTGTCTGTAGCCTGCATCGCTGCTGAACGAACCCCAGGTTGAATTCCCCGTTGCCCCTTTCCGCCCAGATCCTTGCTGTTGACTCATGTACTCATTTCACATTTCAGTGTGTTAAACCAGTGTTTTGTTGCTGCTGCTGTTGAAAATCCTCAGGGTGACAACTGGGAAGTCCTCCAGTGACCCCTTCCCCACTCAGCCTGGAGGTGCTGGGCCAGCGACGTCACCCGTTCTAGAAAAGGCTGGTACAGAGGGCCCTCTGTGGAAGGCACCTTCTCACCTGCCTCTCTATTTCGATGAAAGACGGAGGGAAGGGTAAAAGGCAGTTTTTAGCTTAGAATCTGTTTGGAGTTTGTGTGTGTGTGTGTGTGTGTGTGTAAAGAGAACAGCATAGCTATTCTTGGAAGGTGAGCTTTATATTGGAAACAGGAAGAGAAACTGGTAGGACGGGTTGGGAATTATGAGAGCACTGGTCCTGCCTCAGGGACCTGCTTGTAGGTCTTTCTTCCTGCGTGTAGCCAGCAGCACGCAAAGGTACAGGCCGACGTGTCCCCTTGTATACGCTGATAGGGCAGATTCCTTTTGAAGTCCTTTCACACACCGGGTAACACAGGCCAGGTGCCAGCGGTCTCTCTGGGATAGGGTCAGACCACATCCAGGGAGCATCACTCTGTCCCTACCTGGGTCCTCAGGGCCACGAATGCGTGCTGGAGGCCACCAAGTGTCTGAAGGCAGATGACACGAGGCCCTCAGGTTGCCCGTCCTGCTAAGGAAGCAGTTGGAAGTGTGCGTATGTAAGAGTGCATTTATGTCTTCTGGAGGATACAGCGTTGGCTGGTTTTTGTGGCGGGAGAGAATGTACCTTCAGTAAGTGGCAGGTTTGTTTTGTGCCCAGGTCCAGCCTCATGAACCTCTTGGTTTGGCCTAGGCATGGTTGTTGACTTCTTCCAGGAAGGAAAAATCACAGCTGTTGATTTGACCCAGCCAGCCCTGTGGGGCCTTGGCCGCCTTCACCTGCTCCACCAGCTTGGGGGCCGGTGGTTCACGGGACTCACTGTGGGGGTGGGCTCAGGAGCGCCCTCTAGGTTGAGCCTGTAGAGCTTGGTGGAAGGCGGGTGCTGCCATTGTTCTGACTTCCGGTGGTATAATAAAATAATAGAACCCCAAGGGCCTCCAGCCCTCACAGTCTACGAGTTCCGGGTTTCCATGCCAGGCCATTTTAGCAGACCTTTAATAATGAGTTTTCTGCTTCATGCTCCTCATCCTCACACCCCCACACTTTTCTGTAACTTCACCTGCTGCTTTCTGTTTGAGTATCCTTGAAATCACCAGCTTTTCACTGACTGTCTCTCACAGTAGCCTGTGTGTGTGAGTGCGGCATGGCTGGGGTTGCATGCGGCATCTGGGAGCTAGCATGCTCAGCAGCTGGGAGAGGGGTGCCCAGGGGACCCTGTGGTGGGCATCCCCGGCCCTAGCTCAGAGCTGGCTCTCAGTGGGTGCTCCCAAGTTTTTCCTCTGTCCACAGTTAACCTGTCAAAAACGTTTGCCCAATTTCCAGCTTCTTGGACCTTACAAATCCAGAATCTTACTGTGTCTGTTTACTGTACTGCTTGTGTTCCAGTATACAGCAGAATACGGGACCGATTTCATGCCTCTCATTACCCTTACAAGGGGTGTCAGTGAGGGGTGCCTGGGTGGCTCAGTGGGTTAAAGCCTCTGCCTTCAGCCCAGGTCATGATCCCAGGGTCCTGGGATCAAGCCCCACATCAGGATCTCTGCCTGCCTCTCTGCCTACTTGTGATGTCTGTCAAATAAATAAATAAAATCTTTAAAAAAAAAAAAAAAAAAAGGCCATCAGTGAGGTTCAGGGTCAGTAGCCATTGTAAACTCCTGACACGATTTACTTCTTCAGTTAGTAGTTTGCTCTAGTGAATAGAAAGTCAGGGTTGGCTTTTTTGGGGTTTGTTTTTTGTTTTTTTAATAAACTTTGCCAGTTCCAAAAATCTGTCACTTTGTTATAATCCAGTGATGCTAACAGCTTAGACTGTTGAATTGGGAAATTTTTTTTAACAGCTCAGAGTATAACTTATGTGTCCTACAGTTCACCTGTTTAAAATACACAAGTGAGTGGTTTTTAGACCATTAAATAAATATGTGCGACCCTCACTATAATCAGTTTGAGGGCATTTTCATACCCATCAGCTGTCACAAAGTAATTTTTATTTTTTTCCGAGGTTTATACCAGTTATTTCATTTTCTTGTTGCCTTGGGAAAATGGTGAGGCAGAAAACTTCTAGTGATTTGCCAGTAACAAAGGCTTTCGTGTAATTGAAATAAAGGGATTTTTTTTAGGTTTCCTTTTGTTGTTGTTTTTTAATCTCAGGCTTATTTGATTGACAGTGTGCTATTCTGAGTTTTATCATTTGTTTCCTAATCTTTTGAGTTTAAAGCATGAATTCTCTGAAATTCATTGCACTTCATTGGGGCTGTGTTCATGAGAGGGTGCTCCCAGACTCTGGGTGAGGGCTTTCGGGCAAGTTCTCCTGATCTCAGCAGCTCGGTGTCCTCATCTAAAGAAGCAGAGATCATGTGTGCACAGCCTCCTGATTGACACCTGCCTGTTCTTTGTCAGTTATAAAGCATGACCCAAGATGCCAGAGCACAGATTTCTCCTTTGTTGTTGTGTTGTTTTTTTTCTCTTTCGTTGGTTCTTTGTAGTATCTTATGAGCCATATCCCCTAAGAGAAATCTTTGGCAAACTTTTAAGTATTGAGACATAAATGAGAATCTCATTTACAGGACCGCATTAGGAATCTCAGTAAAGTTCTCTAGTTCGGGGTAGGAGGTATTACATAATGAGGCCACCGAACTCTGGCCAGGACACGACTTGACCCTCAGATCAGAGTCACAGATCAGGGAGTAGAAGGGCACAGTAGGAAGCTTGGGACCGATGGGAAGGCTGGCTGCCCTCACCCGCAGCTCAGTAGCAAAGAGAGATGTACACACCACCATCCCCACCCCCTCTGTCCAAGAGAGCCTCATCTGCATCGGCCCCTTCTGTTCTGGTTTCCATAGTAACCTCCCTGCTGGGACTCTTCCTCTTCACCTGCTAGAAGTCTCTCTGGGGGAAAACACTTCATCATTAATCGAAATACCCTCACTGTTCTGCTTTCACCAAGGACAAGGAGAAGAATAAAATCATTCTTGAGAGCTGGTCCACCAGTCTTCCTATACAAAGAAAAGACCTCTCTTCCCCAGGGCAGGCAGGCGAGCGGCTCCATGCCCTTGGACTGCCCTGCTCCAGAAGGGGAGGAGCCAGTGACATCACACACAGAATCCCTCGTAACATCCTCTGCCTTTGACGTTTTTTCTTGCAGGAAGATCCACGCCTGAAATTTCCAGTACACATGCGGTCAAAGGCATCTTTAAACCCCAATGACCTCGGCCCTCTTCCTGTGAGTACCCTGGAGACACGCGGACCAGTCTCAAAGTATTTTATCCATTCATCTGCATCATGTTGATGGAGAGACCCCGTGGGCCTTCTCTTTCTCCAGGCATTTTTAGGTTCCATTGGTCTGTAATCGCTTCACAGAATTGGGTGCATGGATGAATTCCAAAAGCACATTCAATCGATGCCCTGTATTTGTGAAAGAGGTTTCTGAATGTTAGCGGCTCAGAGAAAGTAGACCCTGTAACTAGAATGTAAGAGGCGGTCTCTACCTGTGACAGGCCGCTTGCATTTATTTTCTAACGTTGCAACCGCTAGGTTCCATCCGTCCTGCTAATGCAGTCACTGGAACAGAAATATTGAAAACAGTGGGAGACAAAGGAAGTAATCACCGACGGTTTCTGTAAATCATTAGCCTGCAGATGTATTTTCAGTTTTTCTCTCCTGTTGAGGACTGTCTATAAAATTTAATTTCTTTGATGGTTTCTTGTCTCTGGGGGGCCCAAGTGGGCGTTGAGCTCTGTTTACTCCATGTTGGGCTGGATTGAAACTTCACTCACTACTTTCTCAGCCTCCCCCCATCCACAGTCCAAAAGCCATACGAGGGCAAGAAGGTGGGGAGACTTGAGTCTCCTGTAGAACGGGGGGTGCTGGGAGTTCTCGAGGGGATTTTCACAGCGCAAGAACCTCTCCGTTGCCTGGTCTGTGGTGGCACAACTTGAATCTAGAAAGGTTAGGGGTCAGTCTTCGTTCCTCAGGCTTTACACAAAGATCCCTCCCTCTCCAGAACTGTCTGGCTCCTGGGTTGAGATGGAAAGAGCCTGGAGAGAGCCAGAGACCGAGATCAGATACGAAAGATCGTGGGTTGTCGTCCCTTGTTGGATCCCTGAGTTGCAATAGCAAGTAGGCACCATTCAGATAATGAGGGCATTCCAGCCTTCCATTGGAAAAAATACCCAAATCTATTTCCTGAGTCCAGAGAGAGAGAGAGAGAGAGAATCTCAGCGGTAGGTCCCTCGGCCACACAGTGACAGGACTAAAGCCTCCGGCTCTGGCATGTTTAAGTCAACCTCCCTCTTCCCTTCAGTACTTGGTATGAGCTACTCAGTCCTAAACTCAGCTGTTCCGTGGAACCCCGGAGTTGCTCTTGGAAGCTTTTGACAGAGCAGGCCCTGCTTCCTGGTCATCACAAAGCGAGTAAGGGCGCCAGAGGCTGGCGGACACATGATATAGCGTGTTGATAGATGTTGTCAGGTTAATGTGAGATGTTTGTGGTTTGTTCTTAACCTGACAAGAACCCTGGAAGAGGAGAGCCAGAGAGTGTCCTTGGAGTGTTTAAATTTAGCCATTGAGATTGATTGATTGATTTACGTATTTATTTATTTATGTGCTTATTTATTTATTGGAACTGTTAGCTAATGGTTGTATATTTTCTTTCTCTCTCTCTCTTTCTCTCTCTCTTTTTTTCTCTACTACCAGCCTGGTTGGGAAGAAAGAATTCACTTGGATGGCCGAACATTTTATATCGACCACAGTAAGTAGGCTCTTTCATGGGCACACAGGCATGGCAGGTGGAGGGCGGGGGAGACGGAATCATTCAGATTATAGTGAAAGGCTTGTCATTTTACTCTTTGTCCAGGCAGCCAGGTGTTCTGTGGTGAGAATGAGCCCAGAGAGTCAGTGCCCTCTTACGGTACTGTGCATTCCTCCCAAGTTTGCCTGAAAGGAGCCCATCAAGCTTTTACCCGATTTGATCTTGTGACCTATTAACTTTTTTTTTTTGTCCCATTAAAAAAAAATTTTGGGTCAATAACCCCTTGATCTCTGCGCTTTTAATAAATACACTCTAGTAATAGAAAATAAGGTTAGAAGTAACAATGGAGTCAAAAATCTGTGTGTGAGCCATGCTGAAAGCAGCATGTGTCCTCAACACTACCATCAGAGGTCTTACGCCAAGAAGCCCGTTCTGACTTATTTTCTATTCATAGCATGTTCCTTTGCACCCAGCACACTAATCTATATGTAGTTCGTATCTTGAAATTATAGTTGCTCCAGCACCTATGAATAAGTGTGCGGTTTCTCATTTCAACTAAAAGTTAAAATAATAAAGGTTTCACTTTTAGCCAGTGTTGTTTTTGGTTTTTGTTTTTAAGGCAACATGTCCTCCATGGTAACATATTTCTAGAAAATGTATATGTAAGAGAAGTCTTCAGTTCTGTTGAGAGGCATGTGCAGCTGGTCGGATTTTGACCTTTGTTTTCATTTGGTTCCTAAAGATTAGCGAGTCGGCCCCAGGTTTCTCCAGCCTCCCGTTCTCGTAACTCATCAAAAGTCCCCCGGGGAGCCGGTGACTGGAGAGTCGGATCACGGACGTCTTCATGAGCTTGACATACTTTTTATAAATTAAGGAGCCCAGCAGTTGAGAATTAAACCAGAAGTAGAATTCCTAGGGCTCTTGAAAGAATGGGCTATCTTTGGTTAAAATTCAGTAATTCAAGGTACATAGGCTTAGTTTTGTCTTTGACTAGTAAAAGTACTAAGGGTTTGCCTGCTCTCCAGAGTTTTACAGTGAGCCTAAAATTGCTACCATAAATGCTATAAAACGTGTGTACTGCCAGTTTTTTCTCTAATATGCTGTTTGTTATAATTCTACTCCTAACATAATTTTTAAAAGAAGGGAGGGGACACACTCTTTTTTCCACAAAGAACAAAAAAACAAATCCTCTTTTAGTTATAATGCTTTGCAATTTCAGTTTTCAAAGGTAGGTACGAATGATAATGATCTTTTTCTTAAAATCTTAACCAGTAGCCTAACCTTGCTTGGTCTGCTACACAGAGAATATTTCTCACAGCATCGTGGCCATGTTCTGGTTGGTGATCTGACATTCAGGTCAACCTGAAAAGAATTTTATGAATGTTCTTAATGCCATGGCCCCCAAACAAGAAAAACTCTATTGCAAAAGTCCATCGTAGTGTACATGAGAAATAATAAAGATCATAGACTATTTTCCTAGTGCTATGCATAGACTAGTATAACGCAGAGTAGATGCTTAATAAACAGTGACTTGAAGCTAATTCACGGAGGGTCCGTGGTGAAGGCGTGAGGCAGGTGAAGTCCCCCCGGAAAGTGGAGAGAACTCACCTCGGGGAAGCAGCAGCCAGGCCACCCCTGCTTCTGTTCATTAGGAGGCAGGAGAGGGTAGTTCTGCTAAGTGTCTGGGCTGTTCCTTCTTCCTGATCAGTCCAGCAGTCCCTCCCAGCACTCCGCGCACTCCCTTCCCACTCCCCTTGCCTGTCGGAGGCTCCTCTTTGCTCCCGGGGATGTTACAAACCACATACAGTGCCTGGTTGATCTGAGCTACAAAAGGTGGTATTTTCAGTCCTTTACGTGGAGATTAAAGTTTGCCTTTGCTTTCCACCCTTCTAAAAGGGTCTCTGAACCAGAGAATGGTGGAAATTAGCAAAAACTGCGAAAGAGGAAAGATCGGTTTAGGATTACCTCGTTTGCTGTTGATGCAGCGTTTCTGCCATTCCTCCCATTTGTCAAGGTTTACTCAGTGGAAACCTGTAAAGGGGTACGTGTCAGTGGAACAGTTAACTTCGTGTGCTGTTTCACCAAAACCCGGCCTGTGAATAGCACAGAATACGTGTCTTTTTAAGAAGCTCTCTGGGGCTGACAGGTGCTCTCCAGAATGCCTTTCCTCACCTGGTAGGTGATGTTTTAAGAATGCCTTTACCTTCCAGATGAGCTTCCTTCCAAGCAGTTTCCCCACATCGGATTTCTTGAAAAATTCCGCATCTCCCTTTGCTGTCCTGCTGCGTGCAAGGCAGAAGCCACGCCATCCCTGTGCGTGGCATTTTCCTGTGCGGCCTGTTGTCTCAGGACAGATGCAGAGTCCTGTCTCCATCATCACCAGCACACAGGACTGCACACGAAGGACAAAGACATCAGTCCCCTTGTCCTTTAAACAGTGAGGCTATCTATTTTTGCTTCATAAACTCTTGAGAAGTCAGACATTTTCAGGATTAGAATAACCATCTTAAAGACGTCATTTCAGAAGAGCTGAAGATTGCCATTTATCAGATAGCTCTTGTCTCGAGCCTGGGGTAGAAGGTTAAGGGAAGATCTTGAACTGAACCACTGCCTCTCTTAGGGGTCATGTGGTTCCTCTTAAAGACCAGAGATGCCCTTCGTCTGCCCTTCGTCTCAGTCCGTGGCCACAGGTGTCTGAGACACAAAACTAGAAGAGAAAAGAGAATTCCAGTAAGGCTGTAAAATCCTACTTTCATCTTTCTTGCCAGCAGTCTTAGCAAATCTGTTAACAGTAGCTAAATGAACTGAGTTTGTCATTCTTCTTCATTCTTGTCCTTTTATTTCAAATACAATGACGGCAAAAAAGCAAGTTTACATTCAGAAGTTCTGGAAAATGGATAAACGGCCACTTCCCATTCCTGTTCTATATTGACAGTACTTAGCTGTAAATCGATCTGCATGGTCACCACATAGAAACTTGGGAGCCCCAGGAAGCATTTGCAGTGTTGGGTAGAGGACTGAACCAGCTTTGAAAAAACAAGTAAAGACCACACTAACTTGCCGCGTGGCCCGGCGCCAGGGCTGGGGGCTGGCTGCAGGGGGGCCTTCGGGACAGATGAGTTTTCGGATGGATCCTAAGTGATGAGTCAGATTTATCCAGGAAAGCCCGGTGGAGAGCGAGCCCCGGAGGGAGAAAACATGCAGGTGTATGAAGGTGTGTGGACGGGCCACAGTCCAAGCACTGTGGTGGGGCAGCAAATGGCCGGGGCTCCGTGGAGGCACGTGGCTCCAGTCCAAGGGTGTCCACCAGTGGTGGGAACATGGGTCCCTTCTACTGGCAGGAGGGAGGCCCTAAGGGTTTTTCTGGAGGGGCCTGACAACGGTCAGATTTGTTCTTTAGAAAGATCCTCATGGCAGAACTACAGAGGAAGGCTCGAACTGGGCTGAGTGAGCCCGAGGCCAGGGAAACATAGGGCAGAGTCCATGGAAGCGATCTGCCCTCCAGAAAGCAGCTTTCTCAGTGAGACGGAGGACACAGCTTGGCAAGCGTTAGAGGAGAATGGCAAGGGAGCATAGGGATGGGGCCAGTGACGGGTTTGAACAGTGAGTGTGCTCTGGTGCTGGCATTTGGGAGTACGGGAGGAATGGGTTTTGTTTCTGGAGTATTATGAGTTTGGTTTTGGTCAAGTTGGATTTGAGGTTGCCATGGGAAATGCAGGCACACATGTCAAGAGTAGATCTGGATAGACTGTGGGAGGCGCCATGTGTAGGTCGTAATTAGTTAACTTCAGCTTTGACCTGGGTAGCTAGGTAATAAGAATATGGTCCAGGCAGCTGTCACTCAGCTGTAGTCTCTTTATTTGGTTTTCTTTCGTTCTCTATCACAATGGCAACTTTTACTTTCCAGATTTCTTATGCGTGAGGTAAGGGACTCAAAATGCCTTTTGCTTCCATCAAAGTTCTCTAAAACCATTGAAATGTCCCACATACATTTCCTGCCAACATCAATCTAGAATCCTGTGCTTCAGCAGTGGATTTTAAAACTTGACCTCTACTTTCGTTAAAATAATTAGAATACCAGATTTGGAGAAATTCCTGCTACGGTCATTAAAACCAAATTTTTTGCTTATTCTTATTTGTCTGTTTACAGGATATATAGGAAATGAGCAGAATCAATATTTTTTAATTTCCTTTTTTTTTTTTTAACCAGCTTAGATTCCCTGAAGTCCCAGAGAGAACCCATTGTCCCCCAGTCTTCCCTCCCCGTATATTTCATGCGAATCCGTCCCTGCCTCCCACACACACCACAATCCCATGGCATAGTCAGAAAACCCACGTGATTCAGGGCACCATGTCACCTGCACCCCTGGAATAATTGCATAGGTGCCGTTGAACAGTCTTGCTGACACTGACTCATTTATAAGAAAGAAACCTACTTCTTGCCAACGTGACCAAAAGGGAAACCTTCCTCCTCTTCATTGGCTCTATCTGATGCTTATGGTTTTAGACTCCTCAGCTGCTCTGATTTTTGCGTGCATATGAGTGACATGAGTAATGGATTATTCATTTGTCCAATGTAGGATTCTTAGTTGAAAGCAGTTTGCCAACACTGTAAGCAAGAAAAAAATACTTGAAATGAGAAAAATCGTGTGTGTGTGTCTGTGTGTGTTAACTTTTTAGGGACTAAGATTTGTTGTGCCTTTTTTCAGTTAAAGGGAGATCAAGATCAAGTTATAAACCCTTGAAAGAACAGGGGTTTATAATTGAAATTTTGGCAGGTTTTCTTGCCAAAAACAGTGTGAATAGATGGTTTGGCTTTAGTCGTGCATTTTTGATGGAGTGTTGTTAACTAAACAGTATTGGGGGAGGGGCTGCCATATAGACTAGGTGCTCTTCTAACCCTGAAATGCTAAGTTACTCATTTTGGGGACAACTTTTGAAAAGCCCAGAAATAATTCTTTTTAAAACATTTTTGACACAGAATAGATTGGAAATGCTGATTTTTTTTTTTTTTTTAAACATTAATTTTCAGACAGCAAAATTACTCAGTGGGAAGACCCAAGACTGCAGAATCCAGCGATTACTGGCCCGGTCAGTATTCTCAAGTTTTCACTCTTCGGTGTAAGATTTGGGTTGCATCGAAACACGTCTTTCTGGAATATTACCACTTACCCAGTGCCAGGGACCTGGTGTGTTTGGCTAGTTCAGAATCGCCCTCATCTCCTCCTCACTTGAATTCCCGGGTGGGATCCAACTGCATTTGCCTTTTCAAAGGGCTTTCACTAGAACGGAAAAGAAAGTGCTTGGCTAATGGTAACAAAACTAAACGTTTTCTTTTCACATTTGTAAAAAGGTGGATTAAAGGTCCAACAATTAAAATGTTCTCTCTTTTTATACAAAGCCAAGCCCTGTATCTGTAGCGTTCTGTCCTTTCTTTTGGCCAAGGGTGGTAAATGCGTGCTAACAAATTTAAGCTGTATTCTGACTCTCTTCCAGCGTGGGACGTCTGGAAAAGTTTGGGTGAGGTTGTAGCCAACCTCTGGAGCTGGCAGAGTTAAGAACTGTCTCTGCTGACCCACTCAGTTCCTCGCAGCCCCCACGTAGACGCCGGGCGCAGAAGGAAGCTAGGTAGAGCGCCCTCTTAAAGTCCTGCCACACGCTGTGTTCATAAGGACTTGGTACCAAACACCACGTGGGTCACGGTCACCGGCAGGGAATGGACCAGCATCTCTGGCCAGTGTTTATATGAGTGCGGGGAGCTAATTTGGAATTACAGGAAACGTGTGGCCTCAGCAAAGCATTGCAGACCTGGGAATCTGCTAAAAACTGGAGGAGAAGCAAAAGGAAAAAAGCATATTGAGTGCTAAGAGGCCGTTAGGTATTTTTAAAATACTGCTTTTGTGGATTTAATCTGATTCCATTCAAATTAGGTTCTCAATTAACAAAGGTAAGTCCGTTTGAAAACATGAAAGGTAATGCTATGCAAACGTACCTTTGATATTTGACATCCCCTTAGTTTAAATTGTTGGATTTGTTTATTGGCTTTGTTCAGCTCCTTTGCTACTGTGTAACGCCAAGTGCCCAATCATACCTCAGTTAAAACAGTTGCTTTTTATGTGACTTCAACACCTGGCTTACTACCATGGCTTCCTTTTGATACATTCACAGTCACGATAAGGTGTTAGAGTCCTGTTTTCTCTTCTACATCCTGACAAACAAGGTATTCAGGAATCAGTGTGGTTTTCAAGTGACAGAGGACTTCTGACATAATTCTGAAGCCTTTGGAAACATCTCTATCACTTAACTGGTCATCTACCTTTACTCAAACACTGTTAGTTCTTACTGGTGTTGAAAATTATTTAGCATCATATATCCAAGTAAATTTGACCCAGAGAAAGATCCTTTTTTTTTTTAAACTAACAAAAGAGCCTTGTTTTACTCTTTTATTAGTAATAGGGATACTTCTTTCAGGAAGAGCATGTATATTTAGGTAATTATCAACTTAATACAGACAGCTGGCTTTTGTTGTCATTCAGTTCTGAATATTTGGTAATTTCCATGATTTCTTTCTCTCCTTGACTTACAAGCTATTCAGAATGTGCTTTTCATTTCTAAGAGTATGGAAGGGTTTTTTGCCTATCCATTTCTTACTAATTTTCCAATTTTACTGCATTGTGGTCAGAGAATATTATCTATGGAATATTGATTACCAGATATTTGAAACTTCCTTGGCAGCTTGGCCATTTTTTCTAAATGTTCCTTTTGTGTTTGAAAAGAATGTGTATTCTGTCTTTGTTGGGTATAGAGTTCTTTACATGTCCATTAAATCAAGCATACGGTGTTCAATTATCCATTTCCATCACTGCTGTTTTTTTTTCCTGGCCGTTCTGTCTAACCTAGACAGTAGTGTCGGACTCTCCGATGGCAAGCATGGCTTTTATCAGTCAATTACATTCACTTTCTCTTCTTTAATATTTCCCTGGTATGTCTTTTCTCCCACTCAATTACCTGTATTTTTCCCCTTTCCTTACCTTCTGTTAGGTTGATGAAGTACCCTTTATTTCCTTTCGTTTTCTATACTTGCTTCGAAGTTGTATTTCCTATTTCTGTGCTTCTGGTGCTTACATTAAAGTTTTCAGTCAACTTACTTCATGTCAAAAGTAATAGCTCTGTACTCGCCTGCTGAGCAAGGTGGGACTTGAGGGAACTCTCACGCCATTCTTCCCACTCACTCTCCATTGTTCGGCAACATTTTAAAACTTTCCAAAGAGCCATTGATATATTACCCATTTCCACAATAGACAAGTGCTTATTTCCTTCCGGTGTGTGCAGACAGATTTCTTTGCCCACATTGGTTCTTAGACCTGCTGTTCAAACACCAGGTTATCCTCCAAATGAATATGGTTCCTGGTTCTCAGAGTGTTGTCTACAGATCAGCAGCATCAGAATCATCTGGAAGCTTCTTAGCAGTGCAAATAGGGGTGTCCCAGCACAGGCCTGCTGAAAGTCAGCGAGGTCTGTGTGTGAACACCCGCTCCCACGGTTGGCCTTGCCGCTGAGGCAGCACTGTCTGAGAGTGGGAAGCTCTTGTCTGAAGGGAGGGCTTATCTGACCTCTCCGTTAAACGGCAGTTGAGCTCTAGAAGCCTTGGCTAACGGTTGTTTTCCTAAAACTTTGGAGACTTTCTTTCTTGTTTTCCGACCTCCACGACTATTGAGAAGCTTGTTGATTGTCATTTTTTTGGTGGGTAAATCTTTCTTTTCTTTGGCAATTTTGAATTTTCTCTGCAACTTTGGCACTGTATCGTTTTGCTCTCATGAACCTGTGTGTGGATTCCTTTATATTGATTCTGCTTTGGACTCACTGTAATTCTTCAATATGAGGACCCTGTCTTCCCTCCATTCTAGAAGATTCTCAGCAGTTATTTCTCACATACTGTATCTTTGCCATTCTTCCTGGTTATCTGTACCAGTACTCCTCCTGGGTATGTGATTCACCTTTACCTTCTGTCTTCCTAATCTCTTAGCTTTCCTGTTTTCCATCTCTCTCCCTTTCTCTCTCTCTCTCTCCTTCTCTCCCTCTCCACCCCCAGTATCTACCTCATTGCTATATTGTGGGCTCAGTTCTCTCAGCTGATTCTTTCTTATTAAGCTTTTTATAACCTACCCTTTACCAGTTCATTGTGTCTATTTCTTCATTAACTGTGTTTAATTACTCATCATTCTATTGGGTCTTCTTAAATTTGCTTGGTCTTTTCAGTTACTGTTCTGTCATGCTCTTTCATTTTTTATTTTCTTTTTTAATTCATCCATAGCTCTCCGATCATTCCTAAAATGCTTATTTCGTATTCTCTTTTGGATTATTCTGTTATCTCTGAAATCTCCCACATGTCGTGTCTGTAGACTTTCCTCCATGGTAGTACAGTTTAGTTTGGTTTCTAACCAGTTTCAGTTTATAATTTGTGTGTGTGCGCTCATCTTTTTTTTTCCTTTTTTTCTTTTCCTTTTTTTCCCGCCCCCCATGAGGCACTTATAAGACCTGGCCTGTGTTTACCGTGAACTTCTTAGCTTGGGGTCATGCAGACCCAGTTACTAGAACTGTGGACTTCATACCCACTTTGGTGTAGGCTTAGAGTATGACTGTATTACAGGTCTGTTTCTTTTTGTTTTTCTCTCGTTTGTGGTCCTGGACAGAAGGTAAGCTTCCTTACAACTTTCCTGGGCTGGCGGGTAGTTTTCTTGTCCCCATGTCAGATGGAGGTTTTAAGCAGGGAACTCTATTCTTACTCCCTAGGTCGTGCAGACTATAGGCCAACTTCTGTGCCCACCCACACCCCACCCCATGAGGATTAAAATCCCAGCCCAAGCACCAAGTCTAGGTCCAATGCCCACTTCTTTAATTTTAAGTCTTTCTGCTTATCTGGAACCTCAAGTTTCTCTTTTCCCCCAAGTTTAAAAAAAAATACCCAGTTTCGGGGGGCGGGGTGCCTTCCTGTGGCGGCCTGCACAGCATTCCTGTAAGTCAGTACGCTCTCCGTGTTCCAGGCATCACCAGTGCGAGTGTTAAGTGCTGTCCTTGCTTGCTGCTCTTATGAATACTCTCATGTTTGTGTCACGCTTTGTACTTTGCTGAGAACTTTCTAATCAGCTGCTTTGACAATTCAGAGCAGGTCCCCTCCGGAAGATAGGGAAGACGATGCTGTTCCCAGTTTGTCAGCAGCTCAGAAAATTAATTGTGTCGCCCTTAGTTCCAGCAAATGCCAAAAGTGGTGTGCTGAGCTCTCCCCCAAGTCTCCATGTTGGACACGAGCCCTCCTCCGGAAGGGGCTCTGGCACCAACTGGGCTAGGATGGACAGAAGATATTCAAGCCCAACTTCTGCGACAAGGCGGCACGTCACCTTTGCTCAGAATAGGAAACCTATTTAATAAAGAGTGAAGGGCTTGACTCAGCAGGCACGTTAAGTTCTGAAGCAGGCTTTATTTTATAAGCTAGATTGTACATAAGAAAATAAGATGCCACATTCTCAAGAGCGGGAGTAAACGGTCTGGCCTGTCCAGTACAAGACATAGCCAGCCTACCCTTGTCATTGTCTTTGGAGGCTCCACAATATGGATGTCTTTGTCCTGCTCTGCTGTTGGCATCTGTTGAGAATATAAAAACCTCCTTATTCTACTTCTTTTTATTCATAAGAACTCTCTCTAGAGAGAAGTATTGGAGGAAGATAATGATTTTTTAATTTTCATGCCTCGTTCCCCAGAAAGAAAGACTAGAAATACCTCAGCATTTTATTTCCTCCCACGTGTAATCAGCACCTCCCAGTTACAAGGCAGACAGAAGAGGAGAGAGCTCAGGCTGGGGGCAACATTTTAAAATACATCCCCTCCCCCTCCCTGTCATTTAAGACTCTTGAACTTGAATTTTAAGCCTTTCTTCAACATTTTCAGGGAGCACACAAAACCAAGAAGTAAGAGCTGGGGATCACAGATTTTTGGAAATGGAAGAGCCTTGAAGTGCATCTGGTCCATTTCTTCTTAACTCTGAAGAAATTCTGTAGTCAAGAGGGTTTGTCACACGGCGAGCTGGCATGGGGCTCTGCCTGACAAGTCAGGTCCGCTCAAGCTGGCCTGAGGCAGTGGAAGGGCCTGGCTTTGTTCAGCTTTACTTTCCCTCTGTCACTGTTAAGTGTAGCTAAGAGCATCGGCTGAACACTTTCCTTCTCGAGACTACACACACTGCTTTTGTTCCTCCTGTCACTCTGCTCAGATGTCCCTTCCTCAGAGCTGCCTTCCCTGACCACTTATACCAAGTAGCCTACTGGGAGCTCTCTCTCTGTTTTTCCTCAGTACATTCACCACTCTTCATGTATTTTCTACTGCCTGTTGCACATAGTAGCTTGCAAGCCTGAGGAGGGAACAGGGAAAGAAATCATTAGTTGAGATAGCATTACTTCCCAAGCACCTCGAATGCCCAGCACGTAGTAGGTGCTCAAGAAATGTCTGTTGAGTGACTCAGTAAAGGAACCACCAAATAGTGAATATATAGGAAATCTTAGTTTATAATGGGCTCTAGTGTTAGTAAAGCCAAAAACATGAAAATGTCTTCATTGGCTTATGTCAGAACATTGGGTCCTTTCCCTTATGTTGGTGGTTGTCCAGATACTGGGAAAATTTCTGCCTTTTCCAGAATCAGGATATTCATATGTGGTATCAGACTCAACAGGGCCCAAAATAAATATGATAATGTGGTCAGATCTAGAGCTCAATGGAAAATCAAATGAAGAATGGCTTAAAAACTTCAGAACAGACCCCAGGTATCCTAAATTGTCCTTAGACTGTCCTTAGGATACATAAACACATTGTCTTTATTGGTCTTGAACTACAAAGCAAAACACTGACATGATTATTGTTTTCTATAAGAGTGGTTATTTTTGTTTTGGCTTCTTATTTGTGTGATTGTGTCTTAAAATAGTATGAAGGAGGGAAGCTTTGGTTCCTCACTTTTCCTCTTTCTGAAAGTGTAAGGTGGTGTTAGGCTTGGAGTCTGGAGACACTTACTAAGAATCAGTATATTTTATTAACTTAGCCCAAAATGATATCGGCAAAACTGTTCTTGCCCAAATTCATACTATTTGTGGAAAAGCAATGAGTTTTTCTGAGTACAAAGCTTGTCCCAGTTACGTCCATGTGTGTGCAAAAGCCAATCTTTTCTGCTTCATAAAAAAAATTAGAAGCCTTTTCAGGAGCCTGAAGTCAAGGGCTCTGGCTCTTAGATACTGTAAGCTACTTTACAACATCCCAAGTAAAGAATATAAATGACTACATTAAAATGTTATTACTTCGCCAGGAGAGATTCTAGAACTTTTGAGTAATGATCGCTAACTTAGTTACTGAACGCCCCCATCTTTGGTACCATCACTCTGCTTCCTAGATAAGCTATTCCAGATTTAAAGAAATCCCTGCCCGAGACCACTAACTAGTAAGAGGCAAAACTTCTGATTCCTAAACCGAAGATGTTTCCGGAATGCTGTCTACCTGGTTTTATAACCCTGGACAAGAGTATCCAGTCACTGGCCTTGTCGTTTCATTTCCTCCCCGTGGTTTTTAAAAGCATGGTTAGTCTTTTCAAAATGACCACATAGGTCATTTTGGGTTTTGTGTTAAAGAATCATAACCAGTAACTTTTGCCTAAACTTACAACAACGAAAAGGTTACACCCTGACTCCCATTTAGACCAAAGTCACATGGACAGTGCTTTGCTTTATGTGACAAATCCCCAAAAATGATTTCTTAAATACCAGTACAGTTGTTTTCAGGGGTGAAAGCCTCCCCCAATACAGTGCTGATTAGCCTCAGTCGTTTCTAGAACTTTCCCATGTAGACATTATATAAATTTCAGTGCTAATATGGAGAGTGAGAACTTTAAGGTTTATGATTTGTGAAATTCTGTGAATGTTGGCTCAGTATACATAAAATTTCAAGTGTATTTGTTTACATTATCTATATTTATAAATTTATCTTCCAGGCTGTTCCTTACTCCAGAGAATTTAAGCAGAAATATGACTACTTTAGGAAGAAATTAAAGAAACCTGTGAGTAACATGTCTTCCAGAAATGCTGTTTTAGTCATTTGTAAGTGACCAAAGTGACTTCAGTGAGAACAACTTGTGTGTTACCGTTACGTGTACACTAAGAACAATTACCTTCCTTTTCCCATTGTACTTGGATCCACCTGGATTTTCAGTTTGAATTTCCTTTTTAAGAGACCTGGTAAGTGAAGACTGACTTAGTATTACATATCAAATCAACCTGAACGGTAATGTCTTACATAATACATAGCAAGGTGAAAATGATTTTAATGGGATATAAAAGAATTTGGGACCTACTCGTAATATGCGGAGAAGCCTACAGTGATCGTCTTCAAACCTGACCCTACTCAGAAAAATGTTCCCATCCTTCCCTCCCAATTCAAAAGTATAGTTTTAATTATATGTATAACACAAATAAAAATTTTTTAAACTTTATTTATTTGCTAGCGAGAGAGGGAACACAAGCAGGGGGAGTGGGAGGGGCTGAAGCAAGCTGCCCGCTGAGCAGGGAGCCCGATGTGGGTCTCGATCCCCGGACCCTGGGATTGTGACCTGAGCCAAAGGCAGACACTTAACGACTGAGCCACCCAGGCGCCCCAACACAAATACAGTTTACCATATTAAATTATAATATTTGGCATGTTAGGCGCAAGTATAATTTTCAGATTGAAATTCTCAGTGGGAAACCCTGTGAGGTGTTTACAGGCCACATTTTAAATCACAGTATTACACTTCTACTGACACCATCCTGTCGTCCATCCCTTCCTGTTGTTCCCACCCCCACCCCCCGCCCTGGGTCTTCAGCACTGTGTCTTCTGTCTTACTGTTTGACGTCACCTCTCTGGTACAGATTCTGTCAGTTTCCCCTCAGTGTGTGCGCTCGTGGTTTCTGCACCGGCCATTGTTTCTTGGCTTCCTCCCCCTCGGGAAGAGGCAGTATTAGGCACAACTCCCCTCACACCAGTCTGCCTAGGTGTCATCTTGGTCTCTCCTGCTCCATGGCCTTGGTCGATGCCTCTCTTCTGGGTCTCCACGATGGCCAAGGCACAGGGGACACACAGGTGCATGGGACACAGTCTCTGCATCGGGAGCTCCCACTTTGGGTCTTCTCCCCTCCATTGTGCTGATGCAGGTAGCCCTCGGAGAGCCGCTTTTGCAGAGGCTCTGGAACACACATGGGAAATTCGTCAGTGTTACTTCGTGAGTTACCTGCATGTACCCCAGTGGCCGGGGATGACTCTGTGGACAAGAGCGTGTCCTGCTCTGGCATTCCCGCCAGGGTGTCCACTGTCGGGGCAAGGCTCACCCCGGTCCTGGTCCTCCTTTTCCCAGGAGGCAGTGATTCACCACTTCCCCTGAGGGCCTGTTCATGGTCACGTTCTGTAACTGTGACCTTTGTGATGCTTTCCCACGACCTGGCGTGATCCTCGAGGGCCCGCCTCTGGTGGCAGCAGAATTAGCCTGTAGGTGTCATGGGTCACACCGACCGGCTGAGGCCCGACCAGAGTTGAGAAGGGTCTCAGCTGGGGAGATGGGGATGGTTTTGTGGGTTACGAGGACCTGGACTACTGTCCCTTTCTTCGACAGAAGCAGTATGGAGCGTTGACCATATTTCAGTGGCCAGCGGGTGGGTGGGTGCCTCACAGCTATTTACGAAAGGAGGAGAGGATGACTGTCCAGATTCTGCTCCGTATAGTTTCTTGTGCCTCTGTCTGACGGCTGCTGGGACACGCTCTGTGTATGTTGGCCGCACACAGTGGGGCGTGCTGTGTGTGTGAGGAAAATCCACGAAGGAGGGACTCTCTTTTGGAGCCCTTCGTCTCTGCTTATTTGAAGACTGCTGTCATTTCTACTCTTTGTTGTTTTTCTCTGTTCAAAAGTTGGATGCATGTTTGCTGTGTGATTACATGCTTGTTTTCTTCTTTCGTGTAGGCTGATATTCCAAATAGGTTTGAAATGAAACTTCACAGAAATAACATCTTCGAAGAGTCCTATCGGAGAATTATGTCCGTGAAAAGACCAGATGTTCTGAAAGCTAGACTGTGGATCGAATTTGAATCGGAGAAAGGTCTTGACTATGGAGGTGTGGCCCGAGAGTGGTTCTTCCTACTGTCCAAAGAGATGTTCAACCCCTACTATGGGCTTTTTGAGTACTCTGCCACGTAAGTCTGCGGAGGGCACTCACAATGTGCTCCCTCACCACCAAAAAGGGTTTTATTTATAATGAATTTAAACTTAATGGGAGAATGAGTGGCTCAGTCATTCAGGACGAACTAACACTGCTGATTTCAGAAATCCCCCCACCCCCCCATAAGTCCTGAACGGGTTCCCACTCCACATGGTGAAGTAATGCACTCTGGGAACACCTAAGAAGGATTTTTCCCTTGTCATTCGGGTCCATGTAATTGAAATGGAAAATGTGCTGGGTACTTCTGGTGAGGAACAAGAGGCCATTTTCATCGGTAAGGCTGTGCTAAACTGGGAGGATTTGTCAGTGTCAGAATTCCGAAACTCATCATCACGTCAGGAACAAAGGTCGTTTCTGAAGTTCTGCTACTCAAAGGCAAATGATGCGAACTTCGAGGACCCATTCTTCAGGATCCAGAGCACCATCTCGGTCCTGTAAGGGAAGAAACAGATTCTCCCTCGTATTAGGATTTCATCTTCGCCAAACACGAAACTGAGACCAACTTAGTTTCTTTCTCAGGAACCAAACACCCATGACTTACAAAGCCAGGCGCTCCTTCCAGGCTGTGGAGTCTCCAGAGACTTAGGCTAGGTTTAGGCTTGAGGCCACAGTAGAACAGTCCTTGACCTTGCTGAAGGGCAGCCTGTGCTGTAAGGGGACCTGGGTTCTCCTGCATCATCTACCTGAGAGCTCTTTTGGAAGTCAGCCTCAGCGCCCTCCTCGGTTGCTCTAGCCAGGAATTCCCATTTTGGGTTTTTTTGTTTGTTTTTTGTTGTTCCCAAGCCCCATGAGAAAGCCTGCTTTGTGAAATTGATAAAAACCATTGAAGTGGAGGGCAGGGTAGGGAGGCAAGACCCTTAACTCTCTCCCACATTCCCAGAGAGATACCCCATTCCCTGCCACCCAGGGATTCTGTGGAGCCCTGTTTGAAAACCACTGATCCTCCAGATCTTGAGACCAAAGACGGATGAGTAGCTACATGTGAGCATTTTGAGGTTGGCGTTGTTGAGACAGCTGCGTGCTGCTCCCAGTGGTCTTGGAGCCTTTCCGGGCAGAGTGGTGGTCAGACAAGGGTTGGGTCCATCGGAAAAACTTGAACCTCCAAACAAAATGTCTCTCAGAGGAATCAACCCTCATCCTCGCAGAGAAAACCCGTAGTACTCACGTCATTGGGAATCAACACATGGCCCCTCTGATATATGGTGTTCCTCATCCTCCCAAGATACTTGATTGAACCGTATGAAATTGACATTTTTTGTAGAGCAAAAGTAGTCAGATTTCAACAGTTTCTTGCGGTGTAACTTACATAGGGCATGTGCGCCCGCTCTGTTAGACCTCAGTCGGTCACAGCGGGGCTAACTAGACAGTAAGTCATGTTCTCTAGCTTTCCCGTTGGGTACAATGTTCGCAGGTGTTCCGTGCACGTCTAAGGACGGGTGGCAAAGGAGAATTCAGACTGTTGAGTTTCTTATTTAAAAGTATGATTGCGCTTTACCTCTCTCTCCCTCCCCAAAGGGACAACTACACGCTTCAGATCAATCCCAACTCTGGCCTCTGTAACGAAGACCATTTGTCCTACTTCACTTTTATCGGAAGAGTTGCTGGTCTGGCAGTATTCCATGGGAAACTTCTAGATGGTAAGTTACTGATATGTCATGACATAACTGAGATACGATGGGGCTGTCTGTGGTTCCTTACTAGGTGTCGTATCTTTCACGTTGCAATTTTAAGCAGAAGTTTCACTGATTCTCTGGAGTTGGATAAATTCGTTTTATGGTTTGCCGTGAAAGAGGTGCTTTTCCCTGGTGTCATCCTAATTTGAGCACCGAAAACAGTGTCTGCACATTTAAAAAAAAAAAAATTTTTTTTAACCTTACAGCGTGAAGCACAGAACATTCTGTATTTGCACATTTTCTGTGTTTTCCAGAATAACTTTTTTTTTTAAGCAAGAGGTAGAATTGGTGACAGATGGAAAAGCTAATTGAAAAGTTGATTTAAATGATCTAATCCATCCAATATCCTGCTATTGTTCCATTTGTCCCTGAATCATTACTTTTGAATGCAAAGAGATTATAAATAATTTCAAAGCCATGCTATAATCAATGAAGACCTTAACCCTGGGATCACCGCTAAGACAGACGGCACGGAAGAATCTCGTTATTATTCAGAGCATATAAGTCATGGAAGAATTTCAAGGCGCACTCACAGTTAGAAGTCAGACTCCCTCCCTGGCTGGATGCATAGGCTTAGTTAGAGACGAGACCTGTGCTGGGTTCTGACACTTCAAAAGCAGCGCCCATAAGAGGGCCTCGCAGAAATCATCGGTGAGGAGATAGAGTCAGAAATATCTTTGAAGGGAGAGCCTGGATGGCTCGGGTTGAGCATCCGACTCTGGATTTCAACTCAGGTCATGAGATAAGCCCCGCAAAGGGCTCTGTGCTCAGCAAGGAGTTCGCTTGTCTTCACTCTACCCCTCCAGCCCACCAGCTCGCTCACTCTCTCATAAATAAATAAACGCTTCAGAAATACCTATTTTTGAAGAATTTGGGCTTGAGACAGTTGAGGATAGGACAAAAGTAAACTTTGGGGTCAAAATTATAATTACCATAGAAAATGAGGTTTCATGGGGAATTAATGTTAATTGTGTTTATGGAACCTTAGATATTCCAATAAATAATTGATGTTCCCTCTGTCCTTTTCCTCTTTAATGTGTTTTTGCTGGTACTTGCTAGCTGGTTTTTTATCCTCTCATTTCATATTTTTGGTTGAGAAAGTCAACATTTTTTTTCTCGGTTAGAAGGAAACTGTCCTCGGTATTTATGTACGTATAAAATACATACGTATATAGTGTGTGTGAGAGAGTCTATTTTACTTTGCAACTTTGGAGTCATGCCGTAGATTACTTCAGCCTATGCGGATTCATTTCAGCCTTAGAGGTCCGTTTACTTACCTTCTGCCAAGTGAGAAGGCATTCTTAGTTGCTCTGGAAAAATCTAGAAAGTAGAAGATAGGATCCTGACCTCAGTGAACTTCTGTTCTCTTGGTTGGGGGGAGCAGAAGAATCACAGCACCAGGAGAGGGTGTCTTGGCTGGAGGGTCAGGAGCGTTTGACCATGCTGTGTTTGACCTGGGCGGGGTGAGCGGGGTAGGATTTGCACAGGTAGAAAAGCTAGTATGGCTTAAGGACAGGGACTCTGGAGGAAGTAGCAGGGACGGGCAGGAACGTGTCAGGGAGTGGAGGAGACTGCCCTCGGGAATTGCGGAGTTAAGAGCCAGAGTGGTCAGAATGTGAGTGCCCCCGTGGGCACAGCCTCTGTTCTCTCCAGGTCAGCCCACCCCTCCCTTCTGCTGGTTTACTCCTTTCACCACCTTTTACCTCCCTAGACCCCAAAGGTAATTGAGCCAGCAGGATTGGGAATATGTAGCAGAGCTCTGTGATAGATCAGATGGGCTGGGGGGCGGGGGTGAGAGGGAGGGAGGTGGCGGCGTCCAGAGATGCCAGAGCTTATGTCGGGGTCCCGGCGGGCCACCTGTGGTGGTGGGATCCATCGCCAGAGGCCTTCATCCCCCGCCCTGGAAGACTGCACGGCCTTCTAAGTGGTCTCCCTCGTTTGCCACGTGCCGCCTTCCTGGTTTTCTCCCCATTATTCCCAAACAGTGGTCCCCAAGTGCAGGCGGGATTTTCAGCTGGCTTTTCCTTGATGGCTGATGCCTGCAGGCGGCGGCCTCTCTAGCCCCCTCTTTGGCCTGTCCTCCCAGGAGGCGCTGTGCTTCCGCAGTGGCCCACCTTGGCAAGTCTCCTGGTCCCCTCTGCTTCCACTGCTCTTTGCCCTCCCGTTCATGTGCCTTGTTTGAGCTGCAGACTCCTGTGTGGCCCTGAAGAAGCTCTTTTTCCTCCTCCCAGAAGCCTTTTGACCCCTCCCTGCTATAGTGTCCTTCCTGAGCCCCGCCTTCTCCTAGGCCAGGCCTGGCCCCTCATTCAGCCTGAGGGCGGCCTCACTTCTGTTTCATGCTCTGATGCACAGCACTGTCAAAGCTCTGAAACGAACCGTCTTTCCACCCATCCTAGGTTTCTTCATTAGACCATTTTACAAAATGATGTTGGGCAAGCAGATAACGCTGAATGACATGGAGTCTGTGGTGAGTAAATACAGAGCACGCCCGGGCGTCATGGGCCCCTGTGTCTTACAGAGGGGTAGCTGAGGCCACGTTGTAGTCGCAGTGATTTTTGTGGGTGTCGTCATTCAGTTTGAACCAACAGGGAACGTTGACTTATTCAAGAAGTTAATTGAGCTCCCTAATTTTTCTAGTAAGTAAATTGTTGTTCACATTTCCTAGAATTGTGGTGTTTGAGGTGGGTATAGACTCCGGTCTCAGCCCCCTCACTTACCCAGAACTGGTTGGACCAGATTAAATCCACGGGGTCACTGGCGGTCCTGCTGCAGCTCTTGCTTTCCATCGAGGACTGCTGATGCCAGTGTTTAGAGATTTCGTCGACCATCCCTTCGTTTTCTGATCTCAACACATAGCAGGAGCAGAGGCCAAAACATAGATAAAGGGACGAGCATGTACCCTCACCCCAGATGTGACAGTGACCAGTATGGTGCCGGGGACGGGATGAACCCAGTTAGAAGAGGATGCTGAGAGACCTTCTGAAATGGGATTTGAGTTTTCACATTGCAGTCAACTTACCCATTTTGTTTAGGCTGACCATTGTAGGGCCGGAAGGATTTTCTATAAAAACAAAAATGACACTCTTCTCATAATGTACTTCTGCTTCTGTTTTTCTTTTAATTTACACATCCCCCCACCATCCAGCTCTGGCCGAGCGTAGGGGTATTTGCCCAAGTGCCAGCGCACTCACTGGGCCATCAGGAAGTTTTCTGACCCCTTGGGACATTTGCATCGCTGCTTTCATATCCTGTTACTTGACGAGAAAGCACCTGCATCCCCTTGACCTTGCTGTGGTGTCGATGGTGTCTGTTAGATGGTGGGGCGTGGGAGCCGTGTTGTCCTCGCTCACCAGCATCCGTTGGGGCTCCGCTCACCATCTCCCTGTGAAGGGAGCAGATGATGCCCACAGGGCACCGGAACCCACTCAGCTGGTCTTCCCGAGAGCGAGTTGCTCCCCAGAGCCTGAGCACCAGCCTGAGATGGCTTCTCAGCTTCCACCTTTAACTTGCGCTTTTATAGCTGGGAATGTAGAAATTTCTCTTTACGTCTAAATTGTATACCATCTCCTGACGGTTGGTGCACACATTCCTTTCTGCCTTCCCGGAACCTGGCCAGTGTGTCCCCAGTCCCAGGCCCTTGGGCCTTATGTTCCGGTTGTGACACCAGAGCAGCCTTCCTGTTTGCTTACAGGACTTGCAGAGCACAGTAAAAGCACAGGAAGGTGGTATAAAATCATTGGTATTTAAGTAGAACATTCTCTGTCTTGTTTTCCTCTGATATTTTCATCCTTAAAAGATGGGGAGTAAATTGCTCTCTCCATGGTCAGCTTGGTAATGTTCCTTCTGCTGGGCCAGAGCAAGTTGCTTTCTCTATGCTTCATGGAGGACAGGATTCGATTTACCACCAAAACATTGGTTTGGTTTGGTTTATATTTTAAATTACCGGGGAAGAGAAGGTTTGGAACAGAGCAAGACACCTGTTAGTGACTAGTAAGCCTTGAGCATTCTGAATGGGATTACGTAACAAGGACTTAATGGCTTGAAGAAGTCAAGTGAGTTTTGGGGAAGGAAGACTTAATTTCTGTGTCATTTCCTATAGGATAGTGAATACTACAACTCTTTGAAATGGATCTTGGAAAATGATCCTACTGAACTGGACCTCATGTTCTGTATTGATGAAGAAAACTTCGGACAGGTACGTGTGGGCCTCCCCTGGACTCCCTCTTTGACTTTCAGAATCTTTGCTGCTTCACAGAAGGGCTAGGCCTCCGCTGGGCAGTTAGGTCACCTCCGAGAACTTCAGATGTTAATTAGCATCTCATTGTGTTGGTACCTCCTGTCCCACCCAGAAACTAAATTCCGATCACAGCCCCTTCTCTCTACCTCTCCTTCCCGGGAAGTTAGAGATTCTGAGGCCTCTGGGGCGTGAGGTCCGTCTCCTTCTCACAAATCAGAATATGACTGTTTGGGCCTTGGTTTTAGAATTTAAGTACTTCAAAAAATAGTATGTATATATCGTGGTTTAAGTACATGACCAGGAGAGGTGATTTTTGGGGGGCCTTTAATGGTTCTGTGGTCATGATGGGAGTTGTCTTGTGGGGCTCAGCAGGCATGGATTTTTGTAGCGTTCCCTTCTTTTTTGGCACACACGGTGTCATTAGACTAAATTCATCATAAATGTCCATGTCAAAAAGGTAAAGTTGCCTACTGAGAATTCTCGTTACCATCATAAAGTTCCATAGGATGAGTTTGTCTTAAACCCAGAACCTTCGATTCATTTGTCCCTGGTGATGACAGTGCTTCTTGGGAGGTCTTATCCGATCCTGGTCCCTGTCCTTTCACGGAAGCCCAGACACGATTCCCATCTCCCGGAGCAGATCTACATGACCTTGAAATGAATGAGACCAGGGAGCCCGTTTGAAGGGTTGCCGTATGGGAAATGAAACGAGTCTTCCTTACTGCTTCAGGGGTTGTTGAAAGTGGACTCTGCTGTCAAACACTGCCTGTCCCTTTTCATACATTGCGGTGCTCAGCGGTGTAGGTGAAGCCAGGAAATCAGGTGCCTACCCTCTCGGGTCCCCTGTCTTAGAGAGCAAACACAACCATGCAGTTTGTCTACTTAAATTCTTTGTTGACCCTTCTGTGACCCTCAGGGTAAATTGAAACCTTTTTTTTTTTTTTTTTTAAGCATAGCTTATGACCTGACACTGTCCACATTTAGCCTTGTCTTTTGACCCCTCCGTTTGCTCACCTTAACAACCATAGTGTGCCTATGACCTTGTCCCCAGAGACACTTCCGAGCCAGCTTCCGAGTCGGTGCAGCACCCTCCGCATTCCTGCACCGTGTCCTCCCCTCTCTCAAAACTCTGCTCAGGCTGTCCCCTAATCATTGCTAACCCACTGTTTCCTGTGAGCCGACCTCAATCGCCTTGGTGTCTCCAGCGCTTGGTGGCCCCCGAGACCTGCTTATTGAGCAAATGAATGATGGTGGTAACCTAGTTGGTTTTTTTTTTAACTGTTAATAATGTGGTAAGTAACAAGCTCCAAGTGTGAGAAAACAAAATAATTTAAATTGCTATGACTTCATTTTGTAAGTTGGATCCATTTAAGGGTCTTCACTGCCAATTTTCAAAGGGTAACACACGGATAATCATCCTGGAACTCGATGTCTTCCTTTCATTTCTAACACATAGAGGAAGGAGTAGAAATAGAGAACCAAGGAAGACTCAAAATCGATCTTGTGTGTCGACTGCAGAAACAAACAAAAAAAAACCCTTTATATCCATTTCTAGAAAACCATAGGATTAACTCAGCATCGCTCAGAAGACATTAGCAATGCCAGAACTAGAAGCAGATGCGCTGGGAAAGCTTCCTTAGTCACAGTTAAATGGGACTGTTTCCATCTGATAAAGGACAGCCAAACACATGATGTGTGGACTCTTAAGTAGACTTCTAGTGAAGATTCTGATGATTGTTACAGTTCATGTCAATTATTCATTAGAAACAGTTCTCAGGCCGCCTCACTTAATGCTGTAGGTTCTTCTGACTTTCGGACTGAATCGGGCGGAGTAAGGCAGTCATCAGAGCGGACTGACAGAAGTCAGAGACCAATAAGTTGCCCTGTCTGTTCAGCTGCTGCCTTCCCTTTTTAGAGAGCTAAACTGATTAACAGGGAACTAGTGTTATCCCTTTTGCATTCTGGGAAGAAACTGAGAGAGAATTAAGCAGCCACATACAGCTCACCTCTCCCATTTCCACTCCCTCCCCAAGCCCTTTCATTTTAACCTGCAGATACGTCTCAGATCCGTCTCACAGACTCCCAACTGGGCTTTTATATCTGCCTCGTCCTCCTGTAATGGCAGACTGGTCCTTTCAGGACGTAAAAGTCGTCATCTCTCTGCCAGAAACATTGATAAAGATCCAGATCATTGATTGGCCCCCGGTGGTCCCGCATGGCCTTGCCCCTCATGCTCTCTGGGCCTGGTCTCACTGGACTTCTGGAACACATCAAGCTCCACCTTGCCGCAAGACCCTTGATCCTGCCATCCCATCTCTTAGCAACATACTGCCTCCCACCTATAGTTCAGACATATTTCCTCAAGGAAACTGAGCCTGACCCCAGGCCGTAATACTTGAGAGTGTGTCCATGTCTCCCCATGGCATTCAGCGTGATGACGGGGCATTTATTTCTAAGAGTAGGTGTTGGGCATTATTAAGCACAGACGGGCGGTGGCCGCACTGCGTGCACATCTTGCTGGCCACAGTGCACTCACCCGCACAGCGCCTGGGACTGGGGGGACCCTCCCGGCAGAGTGGTGGAACCGGCGTGGGCCAGCCTCTGCCCTCTGCCAGCCCTCTGCAAAGCTGTTGAGTGTGCGTTGCCTTTTGCTTGAACCTGAGAGGAAGCACATGCCTCGCTGGGGCCAGAACGTGGCCGTTTCTTCAGCGGCGTCCAGTTACCGCGCACATGGTGCGCACCTGCAGCCGGCCCCCCTCGGGGCTGTGGCGGGTCATTGCTGCCGGAGGGTCAGGCCGTGATGTTGGGTCGTCGGGTCACGAAGGGAACTCCCTCTGTGGTCATTTCTGAGCAGCTCCCTGGCTAGTGAGAACTGGGAACCGCCAGCTTCTGGGACCTCCTGTGAAGTCTCAGGTGAACAGATCTCAGCGTCGGGACCGTGACCCGCCGCCCAGCAGGAAGCAGACATCCGCGCCCGTGCACACATGCACCTGTGCCCGCAGGCGGAGGCGCGCCTTGGGGCTCTAACACGGGGGCTTTAGTGGAGGGAGCTGCTCAGTGCCTCTGAGGGGGTTAGCATCTGATCGGCTTGTTTCGAAGTGTGGACTCGCAGGAGCCCGTGGGCAGGAGGGGTAGAGAGGGTTCGGCAGTCTGCAGGAGAAGTCTTCAGGACCAGACATGAGTTAGGTGAGGGCATCCATCCTCAGCTGGGGTGATCCCACTCCCACAGGGCCAAAAACTTGTCCTTGGAGAACAGAAAAGTCCCTGCTGTTCCATGGTTGGTGGCGCTCCCAGAAGGCCACAGTATGTACCTCAGGATTAAAGGAATCCGTTTATGAAGATTGAATGGGAAGAAGGGGGCGGGGAGGGGGAGGGCTTCTGAAAGCGCTCTTCAGGGGCCAGAATGGAAAAGAAAGGCCGAGAAACTCTGCATAGGGGATGGAAACGAGTGAAAGGCAGACACTGGATATAGGAGGAAGGGTGTGCAGCAGACAGGGCAAGGTCCTGGCCGAAACTGGGAAGGGCAGAGGCTCTGGCTCCTCAAAGGCCCAGGTCAAGGAGCTAGACCGATGACACCTGTAGGAAATGTGAGGGTAGAAGGGGAGGTTGACTCGGTTGCCTCATGGCTGGCTTTCATGTCTGCTTGGAGAGAGGCTGGGGAGGGTGAGGTGGCTTGGCCCCCTGAGGCTCATCCCGCGGGGTATGGGGGACACATGTCCTGTCAGCAGGTGGGTGTTTGCCCAGCAGTGAGCAGTGCCTGGGATGGGGCCAGAGGCAGGTACACCTTTCTCTGCCCGAGTCCCACTTAACTTGAAATGATCCAAGCAGTTTCTCAGCAGACCCCTCACACATTCGACATACGACACCTTGGGAAAATCTGGGGGATGTGTATGATGAATCCAGAGCTTTAACCTGCCAAGGAGGTCTATATTTGTGAGAGTCCCATCTCTGATCTAATTTATAGTCTTTCTGAAGAAGAGAGGTGACTTTGTACTCAGGCCAGTAGACTTTTTTAAAAATAGGGATTTTTTTCAGAAGCACATACTGAGCACCTCCTGTGGGCAGGCACTGGGCTAGTGTCCTTTATATCGGGTCCTTGAGTTCAGACACGACAGCGATGACCCTGGCCCAGAATAGGTGTTCACGAGAGGTGGGGAGATGGTGGGGTGGCAGGAGGTCACTCTCCACTTCCTGAATTTCCCCTCCCCACGAGAAAATGGCAGCAATGGCACCTGCCTCGTGGGGACTGGTCCATGACTTTTCTGATGAGCACTGCACCCGGAGCACGGGAATCGGCCTGTGTCTGGCCCTACACAGCCGGTCTAAAATGTGGAATTGGAAGCGCAGCCAGGATGGCCCACTCAGGTGTTGTCAGTGAGGAACCCGAGCAGAAGGGAGACTGACCACAGAAAGCTTGAACTGAGAGAGACTGCTGGCCTGGCTCGGGGAGCAAGACCTGGAAACCAGCCTTCCCTCCTTGCCCGTGAGCCTCCCAGCACCGCCTGCCAGAGAGACCCGCAGCCAGAGTCAGCCACTGAACCAGACGGCTGCCCACGGACTGGACTGCTTGCTTGCCCTCTTTATATAACGCAGTATGATTCTCCCTTTTTTTCTTTCAAAAACAATTGTATTCATTTATCTGATTACAAAATACTAATAATTTAAGTAATATATGTAAAGCTACTGCAGGAATAGGAATACTACAGGAATAGCATGACAGTCTTTGGGAAGAAAAGGAAAAAGCATCAGGAGCTATTTAAAAATGCAGTGGTATAAATGAATATAGTCCACAAACCTCCAAAGAGGTTATAGTCCAAGAAACGTCCCCACCTCACCCTAAGCATGTAAGTGTCCACCATCCTTGGGGATTGCCCGGGCCCCCCGAAGCTGGGCGGGCAGTCACAGGGAGAGCCAGGCAAGGACGACAGCCATGGAGAAGGGGAAAGCGGGCTGGAAGGAGGGGCTTGAAGAAAACAAGAAACACGATAACAGTTAAAATCCACCTCGCGGTCGGATAAAGAGCTGAAGTGACATCATAGAGTGGAGGTCGGCCATGGGGTGGAAACACCAGATCTCTGCCCGAGTAAGAAGAGAAGAAGGCAGGAGACGTAAACTGAGCAGTGATCCTGTGACTAATCTGGAGACCACTGGGAGGCGAGCAGGGGCTGCGTCTCTAGGTCATGGTGGACCCCCTGCCCAAGCAGATTTCATCAGTGCTCCAAATCTCTGCTCCCTCGTGAGGCATGTGACCTGCAGACTTACCGGGAAAACCCTCTCCACGGGCTTGTCTCACTCTCTGAAGTAGCCAGTTCTGCTTAGAAAAAAAGAGGGAAAGGGGTCCTGACGGATCATGGATATGGCTATCTTTGATTAGGAGACATGGGGGCGTATTTAAAATTTAAAATGTCTACAAGAGTAAACTTTATTTTAAAAAAAAATTAAAACTTTTAAAAAATTAAAGTCCCTCCCTCCCTTGCTTCCTGCTAGTTACTGCTTTCTGTGGCATGATATTTGCGGGAAGCACAGAAGGCCGTGCTTCCTCTTGGCCAATTTGCTCTTAACAGTCTTGGGGGGCCCTGCGGGAGGAGCTCGTCCGGGCAGCGAGCGAGGAGGTGTGCAGATGCCCATAGAAAGCCAGGGTTCTTAGAACTGCAGGTAAACCCATTCCTCAGCCGGGCTTCTTAAGCTGCCTTTTCTTCTTCTTTTTTTTTTTTTTTTTAAGTCCTCATGTTTTGCCTTCTTGAGAGAAATGCCATGCATCGTTTTGTGTGTGTGACTGTAAAATCTAATTTTCAGAAACAGAGTGCATTAGAATTTGGATCTCTGTAGTCTTGATGAGCGTACCCTGTCTCTGCTGTTATACATAATTAATTAATTCCTCGATAAATGAGATTACAAAATGTTGTTCCTCTCCATTGTTGGTAATGTCTGAAGAATAATTAAAACTCATAAATAACGACAAAATAATTCACCTTTGATAACATCTTTCAGCGTGTAACATCTCAACAGTTTAAAAGGCTCGTTAGATATTCTCTTTTACTCTGAGCCCATCTCCTGGGAGGTCTTCTTGAATGAATGCTGCCTGTCTTGCTTAGTAAGACGTTATTACCCGGTAACGTGCACGGCAACTGCATGATGGTGATTGTTGTTATCTTTCCAATTACAGACCTACCAAGTGGATCTGAAGCCCAATGGGTCAGAAATAATGGTGACAAATGAAAACAAGAGGGAATATATTGAGTACGTACACAGATTCACAACCTTTTCTCTTATTAAATGTAACAGTCCGTTTGGTTGATCTCTCTTGCTAACGTAGCTCCTGCCTCTTGTGCGCGTACTTCCGTAATAGGAGTTCCTTTCTAGCTTGGGCTAATAGAAGTTGAATTACAAGATGGAAAGTTTGACTTGTATCATGACTTCAGTGAGCCACCTCATGAAGGAGTCATGAAAGGAGAAAAAAAGTGTACAGTATTGAGTAATACGGCAAACTTGCTTTTGGAGGCTGTGACATGTAGTCTAAAATTGAGATTTGCAGTGTTGGAACATAGTGTCAACAACCAGTGGGGTAAAATTAGAAACAACCAGAAATAAAATATTTCCTCTCTCTCCTGACTTCTTGTCCATAATGAAAATAGAAGAAAATCATTAAAATGGGTAGGAAAATCCACATACGCGAAACACAGTGAATTATTTCTGATATTTAATGATTAACCCAATCTCAGCGTCAGCTGGTGGAACAAAATGTTTAGTCCTTTGGAAACCCAGCAGTTAAGCCATCCCGGGGCACTTCTGCTAGCCAGAAGGCCTTTGTCTCTTGGGCACATGACACTTTCCTCTTTGGTATGTACGTATGCTTCCAGCACACAGGTGCGGGAGCTCCCTGGCCAGCCCTGGTGCAGGGATGATGTTGGCACAGCCACGTCACAGTGTCTGCCCCTCACTGGTTGCCGCAGTGGTCTGAGCACCGGCGTCTGCTTTCAGCCCTTTCGTTTCAACAAGCTGGTTCCCTCCTCTCTCCTCAACATAACTGGTCAGAGGACTTGAATTTGGAGAAGTAGCCAAGAGTCTTGGCATCTTTTAGTGTCCTCTACAAAGAAAAAGACATCCTTCCTGATAAGGGAGAAATGGAGAGTGTTGGAGCCTCTACTTAGAGACCCTGACAAAGCACAGGTTCCCCTTCTTTCCCCCATCCTCACAAGGTAAAAGCTTGCTGTGCTTTAAAAAACAACAGCAACAAAAACATCAACATCTGTGAATAAGCTACCACAGTTCTTAACCTGTTCACATTAATTGGCACTTGGGTTCTGAATTGGGAGCAGGCAGGACGCCACCTTGCACATCCCACGGTCTCCATTTGAAAGCACCATCCCTGAGGGTGTTCGGGGTCCAAAGTCTGAGGGTTTGGATCTGGTGATACAGGTGGTACAGCGGCCTTTGCAGTTACTTCTGTAGGTTTCAAATTTGGTGGATGGTGGCGTGGACAGAGTTGCAGCTCCTTCCCTGGAAAAGAAAGGAGGGCGAAAATCTCCGCCCGCCCTCCGGCTCCCGGGTGCCCCTGGGGTGCAAGAAGGCGTTCGGGCCAATGGGTGCAGAGGTGTGGCGAAGCCTCGTGTGGCTGGGCAGGGCCTGTGCAGCCGGGCTGGGCCTTGGGGGCCACCTCGCTGGGGAGCGCCCTGCCTGCTCCTTCCTGACCAGATGCCTTAGCTGGCGTCCAGCGTGGACTTCCCTGGCATTAAGCTCTCCTGTGCGCTAAACATCATCACAGAGAAAATGTTTTCTGTTAAGAGGCCTTATCGTCAGTCCTCCAAATTTTGATGTTAAAGGCTTAGCTTAAATCATTTTGCTGATAAGTTTTGTGTCATTGTTGAAAACAGTACACTGGACACAAGTGCAATGTACCACAAAATGTACTAGATACTCCTTTTAAAGACATATGTGCATGTTTAGGGGCGCCTCGGTGGCTCAGTCGGTTGGGCATCTGCCTTTGGCTCAAGTCATGATCCCGGGGTCCTGGGATTGAGCTCCGCATTGGGCTTCCTGCTGGGCGGGAGCCTGCTTCCCCCTCTCCCACTCCCCCTGCTTGTGTTCCCTCTCTCACTGTGTCTCTGTCAGATAAATAAATAGTATCTTTTTTTAAAAATGACGAAACGGAGAGCAAGCTTCTCCCTCTGCCTCTCCCCTCTGCTTGTTCTCTCTCTCAAATAAGTAAATGAAATCTTTAGGTTAAAAAAAAAAAGGAAAAAAGAAAAATCTCTGTACATGTTCATGCACAGGTGGGTGTGTGTATGTGAGTGTGCGTGTGAACACATGCGTGACGCGCCTGTCTATCCACGGACCTTTCTATCTCTGTCCGTGTGGTCCTGTCTGTAGGCAGCTTTGGTAAACTAAGGCTTGATTGGGGTGAATAAATTACGTTAGAAACACTCAGAGTTGAGGTTTCCCAGCTACTCCGAGAGCGGTACTGAGTCAGCAGTGCCGTGGCTCTAGACCCTCCCTGTGGCCCGCCGCGGGAGGGGTGGGGGGGGGGGGGGTCCCCCCTCCTTCCCCCCCAGGGAGAGTGTGTGAGGAAATGCGTGGGGCTCGTGGTGACAAGGGGGCTCACTGCTCCTCCCTCTCTCCCGCAGCTTGGTCATCCAGTGGAGGTTTGTGAACAGGGTCCAGAAGCAGATGAATGCCTTCCTGGAGGTAAGTCGTGCACCCTCGGTCCTGGATGGAGAGATGAGGGCTCTGGTCCTTGGGGCAGGAAGGCCAGGCCTGCACCACGCACACCATGGCCCGGCCTTGGAGCACTTAGCCGGCCACCCTTTCTGTTCAGTGTTCTCCTACTCTGCACAGACTCGGTTCCACACCGGTACAAGGAAAACACACGGTCTCTGGCTGGGTTTTTATCTCAACGCCGAGCCGTTTTGTGCCAACTTTCCTCCTGTTAGAGGGCGAAGCCGCTGCTTCTCAGATCCAAATATTTAATGTCATTGATGCTCCCAGGCCGCTAGCCGAGGGTGGTGGGATTCATCATTTTTGAAAAAGGGTTCATTTTGGGAGCACCTGGGTGGCTCAGTCGATCAAGCATCTGTCTTTGGCTCACGTCATGATTCCAGGGTCCTGGGATCGAGCCCCTTGTTGGGCTCCCTCTCCCCCTCCCCCTGCTCATTCTCTCTCTCAAATAAATAAGTGACTAAAATCTTCTTTGAAAAATGGTTCACTCTGACCAAAAGTAGAATTCCTTTTAAAGTCCTGACAACAGAGTTCTATAAGGAGAATGTAGGAATAAGCCCCAAGTGCTTATTACAAATTGCCACTTGCACTTACCCCGACCCTGGCAGAACACTCAAAAACTTCAGGGACTTAAGGGCATAAAATGTGTTAGACCCACAAGAGGACAGAGAGTTTCATACTTTATTTACTTAAGAAACCCAGGAGGCACGGTCCTGGCCCTGCCCCAGGCAGTCCCACATTCGGAAACGGGACACCTGCATGGCCCAGCTGTGCGGAGCATCTCACTAGACCGCCCCGGTGGTCAGTGTTAACCCGGGAGCTAGAGCACGGTCCCTGCACTCCTCCCTCTGCTCTCCTGGATCACGCCTCCTCCTATGCAGCTCATCTCTGTACTTTCAGTACCTTATTTTTAAACATGTTCTCTTGCACATCCGTGGCTCGTGCGTTCTAGGACACACTGACTCATAGCGATGTCATAAATGGCTTTTGGAATTCGCCTGCCTACAGTAACCCATATTTTCAAAGGGCTTCTGAAATTGCTCAGACACCCGAACCTTCTAGATTCTCCTACTTTTCTGAATTTTTACATCGTGACTGTGCTGTTTTTATTAGAACTACAGTTACAGGGTACTGTCACCAATCTATACATCAGCAAGAATGTTGTTTTTTCCTGGCTGTTTGTTTTCTCTGTAAAATTTGTCTCTTTCAAGGAAAAAGGTGTTGAGGTGATTTTTTTTTCTCTTTCAGGGATTCACAGAACTGCTTCCTATTGATTTGATTAAAATTTTTGATGAAAATGAGCTGGAGGTTTGTATTCTGAACATATTCTGTAAAGTAGATATTTTTAAATGGTATTTTACTCTTCTTGGCCCCATGATGTTCTAGGAAGTAAGTTGATATGGATTTTATTCTATGTCTCTCATGGGGTGCTTGTGTCATTCTTTTCAGTAGGGAATAGTGAGAGTAGCCAGCTGTAGGTAGCTCACCCAGGAGAGGGTAGTTCCAGAACACACCGGACAAGTGGAGGCCTACCGAGCTGGGTTGGCTTCATGGCCAGGTGCACCGGGTAAGGAAAGTTGCTTCAGATAGAGTCATGGTTGGGACAACCAGCTAGGGTGGCAGCGTGCTGCTCACGAGGCTGGGCTGGCTGAGATCCTGCTCCCCTCCCCACATGGTGGTAGCTGACTGCGACCTTGGTGGGGAAATGAGCACCAGGGGCTGTGGAACAGAGAAGTCTTTGTGAACTTGACCTGCTTTTATTAAGGAAGAAACTCAGAAGACTATGAGGTCGTGGCAGGAGGCAGTTTGAATGAGATCGCTCCGGTTTCTCTGTGGACCTAGAGGAAAACTTAGCAGCCGAAAAAGCACAGGGATCTCACACCCTGTATTGTCTTGAAATAGGAGGAGGAAGGCTGTGTCTCACAGGCTAGCCTTCTGTTCTTCTGGAAGTAGAAACTTCAAGACAGATGATGTCAAAATCCTGTAGTGTGAGTCCTTTGTTTTATAAGTAGGGAAACTGCTCCCAGGTTTACCCAGCAAGTCAGGCCTGGGATCTAGTCTCGGGCTTCTGGCGTGGTTGTCCTTCCATTTTTCTTTGGTGCCTTTGTGGGAATAGCAGGCTGGCTTTTCCCAAGGACACCTTCCCTGCTCGGGGGGTTAGGTAGTAGGAGGAGCCCTTGGACTCCATCACAGACCCGGTCACTGCAGGAGCTCGGATCGGCATCGGCGCACGTCCGGTCGGCAGGCTGGCGGGGAGGAGCTCTGGCTACCACAGAGCACACATTCTCCTGGGAGTTGGGACACGTCTCAGGTCCTGAGACACATAAGGTTTTGGAAGGGGAAACAGCTAGAGTGACAAGCAGCTGTAAACGGAGCACAAGAAAGGCTGAGCCCCGGGCTCAGATGGGAGGGACGGACGAGAGACACGCGGAGTGGCACTGCCACCATGGGAGGCTGTGGCCTGAGCACGCATTGGATCTGGGTCCCCATCCTTCCCTGCGTTGCAGAGGGACAGGAAAATGTCCCCGTCACAGGTTAAGAGCCATCAGCTTACCTGCTCTGCACGTGACAAAATGCTGGTGTTGAGAAAAGGCCATTCCGCTGTGGGGGTCTGTGCGGCGTTCACACGGGCCCGCTCACACCTGCTCCTTCTCCCCCCTAGCTGCTGATGTGCGGCCTTGGTGACGTGGACGTCAACGACTGGAGACAACATTCTATTTACAAGAACGGCTACTGCCCAAACCACCCTGTCATTCAGTGGTTCTGGAAGGTAAGGCCATGGCCGCCCCCGTGCTCCTCCCCAGTCGGCATTGTACCCCTGGGGGCGGAAACCCAGCTTTTTCCATGGCTGTTGGTGGACAGCTGTCCCTGCCTCAGCTCGATCCTTATTAGAGCTCTTTGTCCTTCCTTAGCAGCCCGACTACAGCAGCTCTATTGACGGAGCCCACGAGTAGAATGAAGTAGGTCCTCGGGTTCAGGAGTTAGAACGGGCCCGCCAAAGCGTGACTAAGAATGGGAAGCTTCTCAGGGCGAAATCTGCTTGGGCTGAGTTTTCCAAGATGCCATATTTGCTTACAAAATCATTTTCCCCATTTTATTGGTTAGTTCCAACAAATATTTTGATCTTTATATCCTTCAGTCAGAGATGCAAATGAAATTTGATTTACTGTCTTGGGCCAATGTTTGTTTTCTCTTGAGCTTAGGAGAGAAGCAAAATGGTGAGTTGAGTCCAAGGTAGAGACTATAAACTGCCAAGCATCTGCCTTTGGCTCAGGTCATGATCTCGGGGTCCTGAGATTGAGCCCTACTTTGGGCTCAATCTTGGGGTCCTGAGATCGAGCCCTACTTTGGGCTCCCTGCTGAGCGGGGAACCTGCTTCTCCCTGTCTTTCTGTGCTCATTCTCTCTCTCTGTCTCTCTCCTCTCAAATAAAATCTTAAAAAAAAAATTCAGGGGGGAGAAAAGGCTGATGACTTAAGTAATAACTCCTGTAACTTGTTTTAATTTCTAAATATCTATTATTATTACTATTTTATATAGTATAACAATAATACTATACTACCACTTGTTTTCATTTCTAAGTATGTATTATTAATACTATTTTTTTTAAAGACTTTATTTATTTGACAGAGCTCACAAGTGGGGGGGGGGGCAGGCTCCCCACTGAGCAGAGAGCCTGATGTTGGCTCCATCCCAGGACCCTGAGATCATAACCTGAGCTGAAGGCAGAGGCTTTAACCCACTGAGCCACGCAGGCGCCCCTATTAATACTATTTTAAGTGCTAGCAGTAGCGTAGAGAGAGAAGACGTTACAAGCAGACTCTTCAAAGCCCAGTCCACGTGTTTGCTCAGTTTTTGTCCTGATTCAGGTGTGTGGCACACACTACTATAGAGGCCTACCCTGGCATCTGGTTTTCTTTCTATAAAACGTTCTCTTTAGAGAATTTGTCTACAGTCTGGAGTCTTACATCTCGTGTCCTAGCCTGGGTTCCCATGGTGTTGGCGCTTCTCCAACTCCGGGTGTGCGTTATTGGCCCCAGGGTTCTTGCAAGCCTCCCCCAGAGACCCTGAGCTGGGCGCCGGCAGAGTGTTTGCTTTGTAAGGAAGAGACCTTGGGGTCTCTTGTTCTCTGAGATTACGCAGGTGGCATTCTGGTGCCCATTAAAAAAAAAAGGCCCCATTCTCAGTCCCCTGTCCCGATCTGCCACCACGGCCTTGGTGGTGGAGTCTTGCATGTCTGCGCTAGTGTGTCGTGTGCTGGGCATCCCACGGCGCCGTGACCACCGTCTGTCCCCGTCCCCAGGCCGTGCTGCTCATGGACGCCGAGAAGCGGATCCGGTTACTGCAGTTCGTCACGGGGACGTCCCGAGTGCCTATGAATGGCTTCGCTGAACTTTATGGTGAGACTCACTGCTGCTCCTGCAGGGCCAGGGGGCGCTGTGGCCAGGCCCCCAGACATGTGTGTCCCCTGCAGGTCCCGTGCAGGGAATCGGGGTCGGGGGGTGCTTTGGGGTGTGTCCAGAGACAGGTTGGTCTTTTCTGTTTGTCTTGTCTTGTGGTGTGTCTCGAAGGACCTTGGGAGACAAAATCACCCCGTGCTTACTGTAGAGATGTTAGAAAGTCACACTGCTCTGCACAGTACAGGTCGCGTTTCATCCCTCCCCCGAAGGAGCTTGTGGTGTCAGCCTGCGGGGCTCGGCAGAGAGGCTGCCCCTGTCCGCACCTCTGCGTGCCCTGCAGCGCTGTGCCCCTCCAGTCCCAAGTGATGTGGGGTCCGTGTCCTAAGGCTGTGCGGGCCTCTTGCTTCTCCCCATAGCAGATCCTCGGTACCGCCTGGAGCCGGGAGGGTGTCTCCGGCTCCCTCTGGGCACGCCGGCCCACCTGCTTCCCGTTGAAACCCCACCACACTTAGCTTTGTTCTCCGGCTGCTTCCCTGACGCTGGCATTTATTAATTTCTCTGTTTTTGTCTAGGTTCCAATGGTCCTCAGCTGTTTACAATAGAGCAATGGGGGAGTCCTGAAAAACTGCCCAGAGCTCACACATGGTGAGTGACAGAAACACACAGTTGTCCGCAGATTGGGCTTTAAATACTCAGCTGGGGCTGCTGCTGTCACAGGAGGCTGTGTCGCCTGCCCACAAATAGCACAGTACGAGGTGTCAGTGATGGTGACGAAGTGAAAGTTGTGATGCTGATAAAACGCAAACCAGGGTCTGAATGGACCCAATGTATTCGGCTCAGAAAGGGTTAACCGCCGCCACCACCCCCAGTTCTGGGGGACATTCCTCCTCCTGACCCCATCCTTCCCTCCTTATTCCTGGAAGCAATACTGTAGTGTGTATGCACTCGACATGGAAATGACTGTTCTCAAACGCTGTAAGACACATGGGATTTTTATTCCAACCATGAGTTGGTTCTTATCCCCAGAACTTGGGATAAGATTCCCTGGAAAAACCTTGTTTTAAAAGGTCTCTCATGGGGGGACCCTGGGAGGCTCAGTCCATTAAGCATCAGACTCTTGATTTCAAAGGCTCTGGTCATGATACCAGGGTCGTGGGATCGAGCCCTGCATCGGGCTGCGTACTCAGAGGGGAGTCTGCTTGTCCGTTTCTCTGTTCCTCCACTCCCCTTCTCTTACTTTTTCTCTCTCTCAAATGAGTAAATACATAAAAATTTTTTAAAAACATAAAAGGCTTCTCACGGCCACCAATAACCCATAGGACTCTTGAATTTAGCAACAGTTTGACTGGCTAGAGGAGCATGAGAAGTGTGACAGGCCTGGTCCCCAGGGGTTGGAGTCAGGGGATGCAGGGGAGACAGATGTGGAGCAAGGCAGCCCTCAGGCCTCCAGGATCCAGGGCAGGAGGAGGGGCCTCCCATGTCTCTGAAGGGTCCCCTGAACCCAGCAGCTCCTGGGGGAGCTCTTACTGATCCGAGCACGTGTGTTCTTGGGCTGGTTTCCCCCACAGGCCTTTATTTCTTGCTCTTAGAAGTAGGTGGAGGTGGGCCATCTGGAAGATGGCGAGTCCCCAGCCCTCCTCTCGTCACCAGTAGTGAGGCCCTCCAGAGCCCATTCTGGGCTACACAGCGCCACCCAGTGCTCATTGCGGGAAACGCCTCCCCGCCCTCCCAAGTACCAGCGAGGGAAGAAGTCTCATGAGAGCGTACTGTGGAAAATTGGCTGTGGGAGGTCTTTTTGATTCCCTTGCCTTGCCAGAGAGAAAGTGTTCCCCATTTATACCATTCACGGGACTCTGAATGGCATGAATATGGTCCTTGCCCGTCCGATCCTTGCAAGCAAGCAGACTCCAGCTAAAACTGGTGGGTCTCCAGAGCGCTGATTGCCGCCATTCATTTTCTTCCAGGGGGAGAAGGTGGTGGTATTTTGGAGCTCTTACTCCAAATGCTATCTGAGTCTTGTTATTTTCTGGGTTATGATAGCCTTCGTTTGGAAGGCAGGCAGCGTGGGGCCGAGCCCCGGGACTGCTGGGATTGACGCACAACTCCCAAACTCATGGTCTCGTCATGATGGGAGGATTAAGTGCTGGATTCCTGGGCCCAGCTGTCTTCTGTGGACTGGGCACTGTGGGATCTCTCCCGCCGCTTCTGGCGTGCTGGCATTCCCTTAAGTGGTGGGGAAGCTTGCCCTGTGATCACACAGCTCAGAGTCCCAGAGCCCAGGATTGGAACTCCGCTCTGCCCGAGTTGGAGGCTCATTGAAGAGAACCAAGTAATGTAGTGTCCAGCACGGGCTGTCCCTCTGTGCCCCTGTGGACAGATGTCTTCCTATTGAACTTCCCCCTCTGTTTCCAAGTCCACATGCTTGGGTCACAGCTAAAACACGGTGGTGCCCAGATAAGGCCTCTGAATTCAGTGGTTCCCAACGTCGGCTGCACATTGAAACCACCTAGAAAGATTTTTTGTTGGTTTCTTTTTTTCTTTTTTAAATTGCCAGGGTCCTGCCCCCAGAGACTTGGAGTTCGTGGGCTTGGTGTGTAGCCTGAGCTGTCGGGTTTTCCAAATTGTCCCGGTGGCTCTGGCAGACAGCTGGAGTTAAAGATTCCTGCCCTTCCCTGGGACAAAGCTCTGCCCACGGGAGGAAACCAGCCTGGGGGTCTCTTACCGGAGCCTCTTGGCTTCCGTGTGGGTCACAGCATTGGACTGCTGATGCCCCCCACAGGTGACTGCCGTCCACCGAGCAAGGGCGCGGGGTTGCGGGTAGGTGGGGATGCGGCCTCAAGGGGGCATGCGTGCGTGTCTCTCTGCCTAGCCAATCTCTCCCGGCCCAGCCCCAGGGAAGGGAGCTTTGCTGGCTGCTTACAGCAACAGGGTCTCCACCAGCTTTAGCTGGAGATAAACCTGATTTCTTCCGAGTTTTATGAAAAGATAAAATGGACAGTTAAGCTTCAGAATCCAACCTGATGCAGCAGGAGAGCGGGAGCTAGCATACTTTTTATAAACCTTGCAGATGTGATTATTGATGTGATGGAAAGGGCTTCAAAGATCTATCAAAGATCAGTCCTTGGATATTTAAAATTACACTTTACAAAGAATCACAGACCCACCTGCTCATTGGAGTGGAGGGAAATGACCTCCCGAGGCCACTCAGCTGTGCCAGGCCAGAGCCAGACCCCTGCCCCCAGCTGAGTACACTTGGCAAGCACTTACTGTGTCCCTCACAGGGTCTTAAGCACTCTACGCTTTAGCTCCTTTGGTCATCTCGATAATTCTGAGCAGAGGGTCCCACACAAGAGGAAGGTGGTCACAGGTCCTGGGGACAAGGCAGGTCCCCAGGGATCCCCGGCCCTGGACTCCGAAGGACCTGTTGTGGTTGACACAAAAGCCACCTTCTGTGACGGGCTCCTATTAAGTTCAGCCTGCAGAAGTGCGGTTCTGGTAAGGGCATGTTTGAGCGCATTATCAAACTGAAAACGCTTTCAGACGTCGCCTTCAGGATTCCCAGGTTCCCGAGAACTCCAGTTTGAGAAGCGCTGTGCACTCCTCCACTGTAACTCCTAGTGCTTGGTGACTTAACACTCCCAGTGCTCGGTGTGTCTCGTGAACCACGCGCGGGGTTTCCGCAGGGCCCACTGGGGGACGTGCGTCTGTTTCGTCCCGCTGCTGACAGCACTGAGTTTTTGGAATGTGGGGACTTGCTCTCTTCATATGTGGAATCCCAGGTGACCATCCAGAAGTTACTATGCAGAAAAGCGCTTGGTGTGGGATCTAGTGTAGAGGACGTGAGGGCATTCCAAGTAGACTCGACCTTGGTTCATCCCTATCGTGTTTAAGTGCTTGGTGGGCGAGGGTCTGGAGCTTGGCCCACACATCAGGGACCGCTCCCCTCTCGAGCTTCCCCCACCCCAGCTGGGCCTTTCCTGGCCCCACATCTAGCTGTGGTAGAGGGGTTTTGTGGCCTCTCAGAAAATTCTCGCCTCTGCTCTGGAGGTTATATAACCTCGTCAGTGTGGACGGTTTCATTGCCCCATTTATTTTTAATGACTCAGGATTGTTGCCAGAGACTTGTACATTCTCTTGCCCAAATACCGCGTGCCTCCTGCGGCCCGCCTAGGAAACGCTGTCGTGACCACAGGGTAATAAGGATGGCCTTTGACTTACACTTTTCTGTTACTTCTGCAGCTTTAATCGCCTTGACTTACCTCCATATGAAACCTTTGAAGATTTACGAGAGAAGCTTCTCATGGCTGTGGAAAACGCTCAAGGATTTGAGGGGGTGGATTAAGCGCCCCCCACTCGCTCCCCGGCCTCGGGGTGGCTGTTGGTCCAGCAAGTCCTGCTTGCACTTTTGCATTTGCCTAACAACAGACTTTGCAGAGACCAGGCAGAAAGAGCAGCCGCAGGCATGGCTCCTGGAGCCAAGCCTTCGCGAGCCTTCGCCTGTGACTTGCCCAGGTTTGGACGTGGGAGCCCGGTCCCAGGTCGCGTTCCTGCATTTTCCACCACGAATTATCAACTGGTTGATGTGTACACTAATTACATTTCAGGAGGACTTAATTCTATTTATGTTGTGCCTCTGTAGGCAAAGCCCTTAATAAATATTTTACATACTTTATAATGACAATGAATGGAATTAATCACTACAGGTATAGTATTACAACTCATGTTTACTTTTTAAAATGATTTAGACCGATTTTCAGATTTTATTTCATTACAATTAAAGATGTCTCGTGTACTTGGAAAAGTGAGCATATTTTTTTTGTATTTGAATTTCATACCAGGTTTAATGTCAGTGACATTTTTTATTTTTGAAGTTTAAGTACCCTCCCCACTCCCTGCTTTATTAGAATTGGAAGACTGATTTTTGTCCAAAAATCTTCTACAGACAAGTACTTTGAGAGCATTTAAACTACAACATTAGGCATAATGATATTGATAATTTGCTCCATACTCAGAATGCAAACAAACTGGATATTACATTTTTTTTGTACAAATTTAGCATACTAGCTGCAGGCTGAGAGAATTGTAACATAGCATGACAAATTCAGTGTTGACTTTGAAGGAATCATACCATTATTCCTTAGAAGTAATTACGTGTGCCAGAACACATCTGGGGACAGGGTTGGACTGTCCTTTCTCGGAAGAGACCTTAGCTACCCCTTCTCTGACACTGTACAGTCCTTCCCTTCTCGCCTTTTCTTCTTTGCTGTTTGTAGTAGAGACATTTGAATGAACCTTGGCACCGCTTGATTTGAAACTGCGGAAACCAGAGATCTGTTTCATGTCTTACTTGTATGCGTTGGCTAATGGTCGCTAAATAACCAATTTTTGTTCTAACTGCACCAATTCTGAAGGCACTTTATGGACCACATGGAGGTCCTATCTGGTTTTGTTGATGTTTTCTTTTTTACCATAGACGATCATTGTGACGATGCTCTCTTCTCCCTGCACACATCTTTCCGGTGCGGTGTGTATCCGTTGTGACTCTCGCTGCTGGTATATAAAACCTAGCTGGAAAGCTGAGCCTACAGACCCGTCCTCACCCGCTGTTCCGCGATTTCTCTGCAACTACCAAGATTCATTGAATGCACACTTCATCTGACCGGGTTTTGTCCCCTGGGACGTGTTGCATGCTTCGACACTGTGTACCGCCTGAGTGGTGTCCATTCTGTGCTGGACTAAAAAGTGAGCGGGAACTTGGATGTGAGCCCCACAGTCGGTCGGCCGATCGGGTGGCGGGGACAGAGGGTTCCGCGCACTTGGATTCTTTGCCACTTTGAGTGTTCATTGCAGAATTCCGTGGTGTCTCGAGAGAATGCCTGCGGGGCCGCATGGGGGTTCATCAGCCCTGCCACCCTTTTAACCTGTGTTGTCCTAAACCCTGTTGTGACAGTCAGGGGGCTCTAGAGATGTGATTTCTTGCCAGTCATCAATAAGACAAAATTGGGGTTACAGGGCCTCCCTGTTTGTTATGTACGGACCTTTGGGTGTAAGAAACTCATTGTTACCAGCTCTGGGTGGCTGGTGAAAAAAAACCGTGAACGTTCGTGATTGTAAGTGAGGTGTCTTCAGAGGTGCAGACGTCGGGGGGGTCTGAAAGAAGGTGGGTTTCTACGGAGCTGAGGATTAGTTCCCTTTTCTATTGACTTAAAAATCTCCAGTAGTGATCAGAGAACTTAGATGTTGAATGATTGGAAAAAAATATAGCACTCTTTTTTTTTTTTTCCTATCTGTGGGATTTTTTTTTCCCTGCAGTCAATATATAACATGTCTCTTGGCAAAAACCCACTTCATGTAGCCCCTCCTGGTCCAGAGGGCTTTCTTTCTAGAACTCGCACCAAAGCCCATGCTCTGATGGATTCTGAGAGTGGGCGTGTCATCACAGAGAAAGCCTGCGGTTCTAGCTGAAGAACGGGGGTTCTGTCATTTTGCAAACTGAATATTCAGAAAATCAGAGTATTCCGTGTAAATGCGAATTAGGCAGTGTTAAAAAATATGAACGAAAAATCCATCCTAAGATCATTTCCGTGCCAGGAGCAGATAGGAATGGTCGAAAGACCGTGATTGTGATGACCGTTCAGTTCATCTGCCGCTAAATGCGGGATTCGGTGACGGTCAAATAGCAAATGGGTTCGAGGTTTGTTTGTTTGTTTGGCTTTTGGTCCACGTCAGATCCCCTCATCTCAGCAATTCTCAGTGTTTCAGTCTTTGTCTAAAATAGTCCTAGATCTTGTTTTCTCTAAGTGCTGACAACCACTCGCCGATGTCTTCACGACAGAGTCCTGGTGGTGGTTGACAGCAGAATGCTGGTGGGTCCCGTCAGCAGGCACCCCCGGGGACGGGGTCCAGGACGGGCTGCTGGTCCTGGTTACCCTCCTCTCTGGCGCTTCTGAGTCCAAGGGCTCTGCACCTTCTGTTCCCTTAGAAATTAACCCGGATCTGGCTGGATCTGGCTATTTTTTAGTTGCCTGAAGAAGGTGCAGTTTTTATGGGTCATTTTGCCCCGAGGTTAAGAAGCTAGTTCCAGAGTTAACAGCTGCACCGTGGACATGAGCTGTCACGCCCACCTGTAGGTCCTGGGTGTTTCTGTCCCTGTCCCTTGTTGGCCTGCAGTCGGATTTGGAATGTCTGGATTAGCCTCAGAAGGCGCGCTGCTGCTTTTGTGCCGGCCGCCTCTGCAACAGGAAACCAGGAGGCATTTATCTGTTTTAAAGTTGGATTCAGCTCTGAAACCGTTCCTGTTCTGTACTTCTCTGTAGCCAGTCCTGTACCAAATCGCAAGAATGTAAGATGCTTCTTTGATTTTTGTTTACAAGGCCCTCTGGTCAACCATCGGGTTTTTCCTCTGGTCAGATGGCAGATGCTCTAAAGCGACCGAAGTGGGTTCTTTCTCCCACATAAGGGTGCAGTGAAAAGATTCTGAGAAGTGGTTGGCAAAATATTTGAACCACATTCCACATCTCACAACGTTAAATAGACAACAAGTACCATGGCTGTTTGATCCTGCCAGATTCAGACTGGCTCTCTTGAAAGCCAAGTTCATACGCAGCAAATTACTAATTGTTCTAACAGTTAACTCATTGTTCAACACTTGACTCTAGCATTTTCCTAAGTCTCGTATCTCACCTCTGAACTTGAATGTCTGTGGAGAGCGTGGGTTAATCCGTTCTCAAGCCCCCTCCCCACTGTGCTAGCCATCTTCTTTCTTTTCCTCTTTCCTCTGCACCCCTCTTATTGACAGAGAGGAGGGCACTTACGTCTGGTATCATTTCCTGCCTTGTCCAGTAGGGGGTGCTGCGGCGCAGGGTGACTGCCTGGTCTGCTCCCTTCCTGGCCCCCAGGCACTACCTCTTGTCTCCTTCGGGCTTTGGGGTACATCCTGAGAAGTCACGTCAAAACTGCCAATTTCAGGTCTGAGATGCGTTTTTAAAAATCCTTACAGACTCCACTTTGTACTTTAGATTTTAAAACTGGGAAGACAATGGGATACACTTTGGACCACTTTCTAATTTATCTAAGCCTTAATGAACAGCGTATGTACACTCGCATATGCACATGCCCACCCCAGTGTGTGTTCAGTGTCAGAAACAATGCTGTAGCATCAGGATGTGAGCTGGTGTCGTGTTTTATTTCAGAAAACGATAGCTGTCTGTCCTTGGTGAAAGGTGTTGTGAGCGTAGCAACACATGTTTAAAATGCATGTCTCCTTATTCATTGGGCTGGTGTTCCTAAGGAGCATCAGTAGGAGTCTTAACAGCGTTGGCTGCAGACCTCTGTGTCCTGCATCCCAGCCTCGTGTCAGAGCATCGAAAGCCTTTCTAATGACCATGACCCTGTGTCCGCGGACACCTGTGTTCCTGTATAAGCCAGTTCGCCCTTTCATTCAGACTGATTTCATCAAGATTGTCACGGTTTCCTTCATGTTAACTTTGCGTGACTTTGTTTTTCCTTTACTACTACTTACGTGAGATGTATATACATACATACGTACGTATGCTGTCCAAATATATATGTATATATTTGTATAGCATTTTTACACCTTTCTCGAGTGATCTGGTTTCGAAAGGGAGTGAGAGAGCTTAGTCCTCTACAGTTTCCTCCAAGCTATGTCCTGAGATGTCTGACCATCGGAGCCTGAGAGGGACCCCAGGAAAATGATGCTAACATGCTGTCATTCCGTAATTCGGGATCTTTTACCAAATGAAACATTAAAAACAAAACAACAACAACAACAACAACAAAACAAAAAAGTGACTTTAAGGTGAAAAGAGTTTCAAGCATTCCAAATGAATTCTCAGTGTTTCATGACTTTTTATTATAAACCCCACTTCCTAATAATACAAAGCCAAGTACTATTTGATACAGTGATTACAAACCAAACTACTTTGAAATTTTTTTAAAGACAACTTCTAGATAACGCTCCTTTTCACAATCAGAATGGCTTTAAAATACGGTTGAATTTGATACACACAGGAACAGTTTTGTTTAAGAACAAATCTTTTTTTGCTCTTCATTTTTCTTGAGAGATCTAAAGAGAAATTGTAGATTGTTTTCCTGACAGCAAAAGAGTAATGTGACAAAATGAAGTTGTTGTAAAGAAGTGATACAACTTGTCAAATATTTAATAAAGAATTATGGAAGCTGGAAAGTTTTCTACATTGAGTATTATGGGTTGTTTGATTTCAAGCTTCTCCATTAATGCGTTGTCTTAATTGTTGGCGGGGGGTTAAATGCCTACTGATGGAAGAGCGCTCCTTTCCTTAGTATCCCTCAGAGCCCCACACCTTTAGGACATCACCGAAGTTTGCCCAGACCACAGAGTCCCCGAGTGATCCCAGCACCTCACCTCGGTCAGTTCAAAGCCCCCAGTCAAGCCGGCGGCGTCCCCGCGTGGGAATCCAAGTCTCTCAATCCCATGGTTCGCATCTGAGGAGCCATGGCCAGATGGCCCCTGGGTGGGAAAACACAAAAGCCATTGGCAGACCCCCTCACCGAGGAGGGAAACACTTCCTGAAAAGCACGGTAGGTTCCTGGAGAAAGTCTTTATGGGACTTGAATTGGACAGGAAAACAGATTGATGGTGACTTAAGACCTGGTGCAGAGTCCTTCGTTAGTAGACCGCAGGACCCTGTCATGACCAGGGGAGGGGGGGCACGGGTGGGGACTGAGTGAGAAGGAAGGTTTCCTCCACGGGGCCGAGCTCCGGCGAGATGAACCCTCCCTGTCCCCAGCCTGTCCCCTCCT